ACCTGCAAAGATACGTTACTCTTTGAAGACCTACACTTGTCCCTGAGACATCCCTGACTGAGGGCTTGCTGCTGCTCTAATGCCTGCTAATCCGAATGACCTGCAGTGTGACCTGAGCCCCAGGATGCCTGAAGGTGTTTTTAAATGCCTAATTCCTGTTTACTTTCTCCAGTCCTATAAATTCGCAGGGGACTTGGTCACCTAACACTTCTGTGGCTATGGGTTTGGACTGACTGCAATTTCTGGAGACGCCGGACTCTCCGCGCCCGGGAGCAGGAGCTGTTTCTCTGGTGATTGGAGATGATGCTCTACTCACTTGTACTCATGTCCTGCTTGTAGGACCAGTCAGCTGAGGAAGTCACATTGCACAACATATAAAGTTTTCAAGAAAAGAAAATACTATTGTACTTTTTTTATTATTATTATTCAGTTGCTGTAAATATGTCTGCCTATAAATACATATTCAAAAAATAATATATACCTAGATAATGTACTGCAAATACCTACAACCAATTCCCTATGAATTTATAGAAATGACAGTATTTTTTCCTCCATATCTTCACCTAAGTAATTTTAATGCTTACAGGTTGGATTTTTGAATAAGAATCATCTCCTACAGGCAGATGCTTGTTTTCATAGTGAACTTGAGTGAAAAGCTGGTCTGTAAGTAAGTCATTTGGCCGAACAATTCTTTATCACATTTAAGGTTCAATTATGTGTTTTATTAAGCAAAATAAAAATACAGGAAGTAAGAGTGCCATCAATAACTTATGCATGTTTGAGGGGGCAACAGGATGAAGATATCTGCTGTAATATTTTTTCAACAACGTTAATCTTAACTCCACCATCTTTGCGCGTTAGACACTGGAGCTTACAATATGGACTGTTTTCATCTTACAATGTTTAAGACCACATCTCAGAAAGTGGGTACTTTATGTTTAACTTAAATTCTTCTTTTCTCCAGTAATTCTTCGAAATTGTATTTTGGTTCTTTCCAAAAATAAGTTGTCATGAGGATTAAATAAATCATCTCAACAAGAAGTCTTCATACTTGTTCTGAGCTTCGTGTCCATGCCTGTAGCTACCTCAGTATGAAGCAGAGATGAGGTGCTACAAGTTGAGGCACACAAACCAACCATGGCTGTAAGTTCTCATTACGATTCTAGTTCAAAGGCTCCTTTCAAATTTATCTAATCATGCCATGAAACAGCACCAAAATGGCAACACTGAGATTACTGCATTGTTTTAAGAAATAAGAGCAACCCGCCCCAACACAGAAGAGGTACTTTGATGTATTTCTCCTCCCTCCTGCAGTTCTCTCATCCTTTTCACTCTCTGAAGTGTTAAACACAGAGCTTTTTCTGTGGCTGAACATCTTAACTTTTGTTCACCCTGCTCCTCTTGATTTCTAAGAGTTTAGGGTACAGCTTGAATGAGAACCAGTCTTCATCAGATACAAAGAGCCATCTGAAGTAAATACAGTAAAGTACACTTGGTCTTTTTATGCTCTTTAATTACGCAGGGCTGGGTGTTATATTTTGCTCTTCTCCCCAGTGACTACCACAGCTTACTCAGCAGTCTGCAAGCACCCAGGGTGGGTGCACTGATGCCAGGAGGGTGGTGCCTGCCCACCCTGCCCAGTTCCCACCCGGGGGACAAGCATAAAATCATCTAGCCATGCATCTCTCTAACACAGCCCTGCTTCACAGAATTAAAAAGTGCTACTATGAACGGTATACGATGCAGAGTAAATTTCTACTTCAGCATCATGTGCCTAAGGATACGATTCCTGGTAACTCTTGCGTGTACGATGTCTGCCTGATTAAAGAGATTAGGAGTGTGTACAAGGGAGCATTACCCATTCAGCCAGTTTAAAACATATTTTATTGCTTTGGGGGATAATCAGACCATAGCAGGGCTGTTGTGTTTCCTCCACCTCCCAGCAGCGTTGATGACAGACCCCTTGTTGAGAACCACACTGCTCTGGGCAGCTGCGACCCCCGGGTGACAGCACCGCGTTTCCTGAGAGCTGGTCCCAGCACTTCTAATACCATCAGGCATAGAGGTACCAGAGGATATCAAAGCTGACAAATTTATTAGGTTTGTGCCTTGAAGAATGCAGCAGATATATCGCCACCCTTACCACTTCAGCAGTTTGAGCTCCTGAATAAACCGTGAGTGATGCAGGGTACAGGAAGCACACCTTGTGTCAGGTGCAGGGCTGTGGCCACCCCATCTATGCCAGTGCCGAGCTTTGAAGTATTTCACAAGCTTCCACAGGAGATGAAAACAGATCACTAATATGAGTTAAATAATAATAATAATAATAAAAATTAAAAAGGCCTCATTTTTGAACACCACATGTGAAAAAGAAAAACACTAAATAATCTGTTAGATGGTCTCCGAGGGAATGTTTATGGAAATACAATCAGAACATAAGCCACATTTTTATATGAAGACACCTGAGTGTGTGAGATCACAGTGTGAAAAACAATATGTAATCACCAGCTTAGAAGTGGGTATTTATCAGTATAAATGCTGAGAAGATTCTGATTACGAGAGGGCATTTTTCTACTGATTCGAGGTCTCAAATACTTTTTTTTTTAAATACCTTTAGTAGAGCCTGGACAAATTCAGACAAATTAGTACCAGAAGGCAGCATAAGGACATTTGCTGGGTATCCAACCGAAGTTAGTTAGAGGAATCCACACAGATTTATTTTCCACGTGGAAATACCTGAAAGCCCAGCAGTTCAATCTACACCAAGGAGGCAGCAGTGACATATTAAGTTCCTGCTAATATCTTTGTTGTCTTTCTTGTTAGCCCTATGCAGAAAGATCTCCATGTTATGAAAGCTCATTCACTCCCTGGGAAATGAGGCGACAGAAAAGCGGCCCTGCATGGCCATGAATTACCCACGCTCTGGCTGCCAAACTCCTTTACCTGTCCTGCTGCTCCCTCTTGCCTCTGCCCTCAGAGCTCATCCAGCACCAACTGACTGGGCTCAGTGCTTGAACTACTGATTGCACTCCACTTGTTTATGTTCTGTAAGAACTGTAAGTAATGCTAATCAAATAACTGATGTGAAGAATTAGAAATGTGCCTTCTATTAATATGTGCTGATTCTTCAAGTTTCTTACCAATAAATGCCTGCAACAAACTAATCAGTTTAATACCAAAAGTAGCAAACATTTTACAGTTCAACAAGTTTAACCTTTCCTAATTCAATATCCTCATAATTACCTTTATTAAATAACTGTGCTTAATTGCTGTAACCGCAATAAAATAAAAGGGAAAAATAAGGTAAGGAATATCTGAGCACAGAGTCCCATGGTATAGGAGTTACCCTGGGACATACAGACCAGATTTCCACTCCATTCATGCTGCATTGCCCGAGTGACACAGAGTCCTTAAGGAAACCACAAACCACTCCTGCTCAGAAAAACTGGCTTAAAATTTTCAGTAGAAACATTTTTTTATATCATAACTGACTTTTTCAATAGCCTCAAAGATGTTTTGTTTGTGGCTGAAATATCAGAAGAAAAAAAAAAAATCAAACAACTGCACTTTTCCCTGTTTTGATCTTTCTTGACCATAACATGTTCAAAAAGGTCAAGTACTTTGCCAATTTGGGGCAAAATAACCTGGTATGCTTCATGCAGTTGGCAAAGAGAAGCAGTATCACAGAAGAGTAACTCACGACTGAGAGCGACATGTTTCTGCAAATACCACACATGTGACCCTCCCAAGTTTTACATATATACCATAACAAGTTCTTCTCCCGGGAAATGTTCCCATGTTTATTTTACTCCTCCTAGTAACAAATTTAAATGTCTTTTTTTTTTTCCCCTGTATCTTATGTCTTTGCTTTTCTGTGTTTTGTAGAGCATCTTGTCACTGTGCTGTGCTATCACTGCAGCACTAATCTGTAAGTATAATCCCTCCTGCTTCACATGGGGTGCCAGCCTCAAAAACCAACAGATCGCTCAGAAAGGAACAGACATCAGAACAAGAGCTTGGGAAAAACTGAATTCCCACATGGCAGAGTAAGAAATCTTCTGTTTTGGAAAGGAAAAACCTATGTGCTGCCAAGCCCGTGTTCTTGGCGTCAGACAGTCCCCTCTTCCTCAGTGGCAATTTTAGCTGTGAAACACAGACCTGGAATCCCAGAGCGGGACGACGCAGAGAGAAGCTGGGCTTGGTGGAAGCTGATGAGAAACACGAACCACCCACATTTTGTTGTCACTGCTCCCACCTGCATTCACGTTACCTCTTCTGAAGAAGAAAGCTTTTTTTCCTGTAAATCTCCCAGACAGCCTCCAGGCTCTGCTCGAGATGGGACCACCACCACCACAGCTCGTCCCGTTAGCAGCTGTCCCCAGGATTGTCTCGGACCCTTTCCTGATGGCCCAGACCCCTGCCGGGCCATGTCTCCAGTGCTGGGGTGGTGGAGCTCACACTGAAACAATTTGTTTCCATAGATTTAGTGTCAGCTCTGAGAAAATACAGTTTAAATTATTGCAGGGTCCCTAAAGCATAAACCTGATAAGTCACATCCAAGACCTATTTAAATAAACTTTTCTACTTAAGCAAGAGACTGGATGGAAACATTCTCCTCCAGGCACCTTAGTACCTAGGAGAATGACACGTGTGCTTCCTTGAAACAGCATGATGGGGAGCTGGAGATGTGCAGCAGGGCTGCAGCAATGCCACACTACACGGATCTGAACTCCCCTCTGACTCTGTGTGTCACCTCTTTGGAGGAGGCACCAGCTACCAGCTCCTGCAGAGGAATAGAGGACCAAGGATCAAGCTTCACTGGCATCCAGCCAGTTGGCTGAGAAAAAAAAAAAAATCTCATTAACTGAAAAAAAAAAACACCTCCCAAACTGTCATGTTTCAGGGTCGCAAGTGCTTTCAATCACAATCACTTTCTGTCTCAGCAGGAAGAATGCTTTTCATTCAGAAAGGGACCTGTTTATCAGAGAGAACAACAGAGATAAATCAATAAATGTCTGGGTCTTTATTAACTCTGGGATCAAGCCCTTTGGCATTACCTGTGAAGCCACCAGCTACAGATCGCAGTGAGGAAAAGCATCCTACACATTAGTTAAAGTGACTTTTAGCATTCATTTCTGCTTAACTCTGGAACACAAGAAAATTCAAATGCCAAATCTGGGCTGAATTTCCATCATCCAGCCCCCAGTGTCACACAACTGCTCCTCCTGTTCAGGATGGGTAGTGGTAGAAACAAAAAGAAGTGATGTACAGGAACATGATTTAGTGACCTCTCAAATTATGTTATTGGTTATATATTGAGCAGCATTTTAAGGTTGTTTTTCTAAGGAAATCATCAAAAGCTCATGCTTTCAGTCTAAAATGATCACAAAAAGTTTCTGAATTCCCAAGGACATATGAGGAATGGGAAAACTAAAACCCACAGCTTTTGAACTAGTTCTACTTTTCACTTTCTTGAAGTGTGATAAGAAACAGCTCCTTGTTTCTGGTTCAGAGAAAAAATTGATTTTTAACTTTGGCAGCTTTCAGTGTGGTTGAGCTGCACAACACATGACACCACTCTGTGTAGTTACCATATGAAATGATGAATGAATATGAAGTGGAAGGAGCAGCAAAAGGAATTTTCCCATGACCTTGAAATGGAAAGGAAGCTAAACTGGAAAGGTGTGCGTGGCACCAAGCTCAGGCACAACCACAAACCTCTATTCGGGTCTGTCTGCAGACCAAAAAATCGCAGGATATATCTTTTATTAAGTGACAGATAGCTGTGCTCTAGGCCTACAAAACACTCTTGTGTGTATAAGATTTGTTTTCCTCAAGCTGAAATCCCCAGGACTTGTGTTGTTTGGCTCTCAGAAATGAAGTTTCTGCTGGTAGCAGTTACAGAAAGCAGAGAACATGCTTACCGTTAATATAAGCAAACAGTATATATGGAAGTACAAAGCAGCAAATATTAAGAATAACTTATTGGTACCTCAAAAGACCATGGAAAATTTTAAGCATACTTCTGGGGAGAAGCGGTGGTGGTCTCTCAACAGAAGTAATGCTCTGGTTTAATAAATGAAATTTAATTTTGCAACAATCTCGATCCAGAGAGGCATGCGGACCTTGAATATTTACACAGTGCACTTTCATCCTTTTAACCTGCAAAATTGGATTCAAAATAAAGTTACAAATTCCCAGCCATGCTCTTGTGGAGATGCAGCATGTGCTACCACTTTCACAGCTGTTTTGCACCTCTGGACTTTCCAGTCCGTAGGAAACCAGAAGGAAGCTGAAAAGAAAGCCTCCTGCAGCAGAGGTGTGGGGATATGGTGATCGGAGGGAGAAGCCCTTTACAAGCTGCTAAAAGATTTGTTTTTAAAATCAGAAGGGCATTCTGGTTATAAAACTGGGAGGCATTCACAGAAGGTGATGTGCCTAACCATGCTGCCATCTTTTTGCAGAGGAAAGCTACCGCGCTGCAGATTGCACTTCTCCATGGCAATGGCTTCTGCAAGGCAGCAATCAAAAGATGGAGAAAAGTGCTGCATCACCCCGCCTTTTACAATCCCTCCATTATTTATTTACATCGTGACTAATTTCTCTGCTAGTAACAAAGTGATGAACAGTACCAGGGCAGATCTTCCCTGTTGCTTGAAATTGCTTCTCAGTCACCTGAAAAGAGAAATTCAAGAGAGAATGGCTTCTATTGCTCAATCCATCTTCAGATGAGAAACCCACCACCTAATCATTATTTATCTTACCTAGGCAAATGGCAACATCTATCTGTTTTTTTCCTGATACCGCAACAAAGGGATGCCTGGGCTCAGAGCCATTCATTGTGGGGAGGTTGCCTGTATTTAAGTAAAACAAGAAGACAAAGAAACAAGAAGACAAAAAGTCAGTAGCAGGGCAGCACTAACTGAGTTTACAACACACAAAGCTAAACTCACTCTCCTGATAACCTTGATCAATCTTGTAAATTTGACCATTAAAAATACCATATTTGTTTAAAAAAAAAAAAAAAATGATTTGGGATCCTAGCCATTCAGAACACAATATTTCCTGTTGTGAAATAACTTGGGGATTTTCTTATTTATTTATAACATGACACTTACCGCAAGCAGCTATTTTCTGAGGAGGAATCTAAACCAATCTCTTTCTTTTTAGATTTAGGGCAGACTCTAAATAGCCAAGGTGACTGAAGCCTTCATTACAGACAACGGTGCAGAGAGGATTGAATTTCCCGGTGGGCAGTGGGCAGACAGACACTGAGCTCTGCAGCCCTCGGCTCGGCTGCTGTGCCCTGCAATGCCAGCACAGAGCACAGCCAGCACCGAAGCCGAGCAGTGTCTGCCTGGGCAGCAGCGTGAGCTCCCTCCCTCCTCACCAGCCTCATTCACCCAAATCACCCAGCACCTCACTGCGTGGTCACCGACATCACATGCACCCTTCAAAACCTCTAGCCAAAACCTTCGGGAAGGTTTTAGGGTGGAAGAGACACCCAAGCATGCATCAAGGTGCAAGCAACCAACAACCAACTGCTTGGCTAGTAAAAGTCACCCTCCCTAAATTTACCAGCTTTTTCTCCTAGAGAAGTCCCTAGAACCCTTCCAAAGTGAAGTATGGTGATAAGTGCCCCACAGAGGAGAAATCAAGGTTATAAATGAATTTGCTAAACAAATTATCTTTGTTTCATTCACATTCAAGAGCTATGGAAAACTTACTGGGATTCATGAGCAAATTACGGATTTGAAGTACTGTGAACAGCTTTGCTATTATAGCTGTGGTTGATTTTAATAGATGCAATTGTGTGAAAACTCTCCATACTGTCTTAGAAGTGCAGCATTCAGTGCAGGGGAACAGCAGCAGCAGCACACAGCATCTTCATAGTAACATCATTCCCGAGCAGAAAAGTATCAAAATTCCCAAAAGACAGAATGTGAAAGTCAGCCCCAAAATATGAGGTAATATTTGAATGGGAGTGAAGGAAGAGCTTACCCAGTGCCTTTAAAACAGAACAGTTCATACAATTAAATAAAAAGCTCAAAGCAGCACTGCAGGGCTCTCAGCACTTTGGAGATGCAGTTAAGTCCCGATCGCTTCCCTTTGTAGCTGTTCATCTCAGAGTTGGTGGAAAGCATGACTTTCATTCCCAGCTATTTCTCTTTTTCAGAGCTCATAAGCATGCTCTTTTATTAAAAGTTAAAAGCAGCGCATAAATTAGGTGCTTTTTCTTATGAGAACGAGGCTGCTTTTAAAACGCTGGCATATGTTAAATTAGAAGGAAGTTAACTTCAGAAATCTTCGAGCAGTATGAAACAGTTGCCAGTAAGACAGGATGATTTATTCATGCTCTGCAACAAGCTTGCGCAACAGGGGAAGTTGTTCCTCTCCATTCTCTCCGCGCCACGCAATCTGCCTTGACACTCACCCAGCTGAAAGTCCATTAAGAGGTGCTTCATTATTTATACTGTAAATTGATTTAAGATTAAATTAATTATACATGCTAGGCCAAAAACTATTGCAGCATCCCATAAGCACCTCTTCTGGGCAGCGTTCCTGGGCTGCTGCACCCAGAGACGATCAGAGCCACCGAGCACTGAGCCCCAGCCCCAGCCCCAGCCGAGCACCCCCAGCCCCGAGGAGCCGGCAGAGGAGTAGCACGGAGGGGCTGGGGGCTGCTGTCACCAGGCAGGAAGGCAGCGGGTGCAGCCACATCCCCCTGGGCAATCCAGGCCACAGGAGAGGGGCTGCAGAGCTGCAGGGATGAGCAGCAGCACAGCAGGCACAGGGACACAGCATGGACAATGCTTCGTGTAAGAGAGAACCTTCTGAGAATGAAGAAAACCAGACATGTATTTGTAAATAAGCACTCAGAAATGCTGGATATCTTCATCGTAATGGCTTTTGGTGCTGGTGGTGGGCGTTGTTGTTGTTTGTTTTCTTTTGAGTATAGAGAAGTAATTGCATTCAAAACTTTGTTCAATACTTGGCAGGATTTTGGACCATTAGCCACAAAGCGTCATGTAACATCTGCAATTTTTGCTTTTATGTTCAACATGTTTTTCCAAATGGTTGTAGTCTGCTTTTTTTTTTTTTCTTTTTTTCTTTTTACTCTGAAACCATTATTTGCCACCAGCTGAGATTAGTAATGGTATTTTATCACATCACATGTACTCATCAGCCTAGGGGAATACTCCTCGAGTTGTTATTTTTTCACTTTTCTCTCATAAAATGCTTCATCAGTTCTCATAATGCAAAAAGTATATCGGAAGCCAGAATAGCAGTTAACACATTATCACACTTTTCATTCTTTAGGATGAAATCTAAGTATTGATTCCAGTTATTTTTGTGACAAAAGATTTGCTTGAACTCCCACTCAAGTCAAACGAAGGACCCCCAAAGGACTCAGACAGCCCAGGACTTAGCGAACAATTTCCTGCTAAATTCTTAATAGGACTAATTAACTTTTTAAGGTCAAGACTTCTTCAATGGCAAATTAGATTTTTCAAGTGAATACTATTTTTCCACAGAAGGAGCTTCTGCAGAAAAATGCTTTCTTTATTGTAGGTTAGCAGCAGTGCTCCCGGCGGGCTGCAGCTCACGCTCCCAGCCTGGCCACAAGAACCCTGAAGCTGAGGGTTTCTGTCTGAACTGGAGGCTGAATGAGTAGCTCAGGGTGTAGAGGAGAAATTTTACTATATAGACTTTTTGCACACTATGCAAATTTTCTGTATCTGTGTCTCTTTGTGGGTCAGCGCAAAGCTACGGCTGTAGTTGACTGCTGCAGACTGGATCACGCGTGTAGCAACAAGCCAAGCACTGAGATGAGCTTCATTTCCTTGCAGGTAGGTTAAATTGAACTTGATGAGGGCACATTAAGCAAGTACCTGTGTGAGTAACAGGGAGTTTTCAGATCAAGCCATGCATTTATAAGGCAGATGTTCATTAGATGCTACGCTTCTGCAAGGGGAACGCATGCAGTCCATCTGCTTGCATACCTTTCCCTTTCTTGCATGGAAATATATTCACCATTTACAGTGAAATCTTCCACACCACTAAGGCTAGGTTTGTTAGGGCCTTGCAAAACTGGTAATCCTAAAATAGTTGAAAAAAGCCAAACAAAAAGAGTGAGGTAGTAACTGAGAGCCGGCCCCATGGCCTCATCAGTGGCATGCCGTGCGTAGGCTTTAGGAAAGCCACCAGCAAGGTGAAAAATGAGTTTGTTAAGATCTGTGTACAATAAACAGTCCATATGATGTATGATTTATAAGACGTTACAGCAGTCTTGAAAAGCCTTTTAATTTCCCTGCTGAAGCAGGGAAAGCTGTGCTATTTCAGGAATACAATGGGCCTATAGGCAGAAAAGCTCTCAGATAACAGCAAAGTGGCTGTCTGGCATATCTGCATTTTGTAACTGCAGGTATAAGCAGCTAAAAGGAATAGAGTGGTGCAGGCCAGTAAACAGCACAAGGGAGAATTTATATCCTGTATGGTGAAGTATAAGATGCACAAGAAAAAATGACCTAGGAAGAAAGTAAATAAAAATATAGAAGAGAGGATCTGTCTAAAGCAACGATAGAGTTAACAGGCTCTGTATGAGCACTTGCACTGTTCTAGCTCCATGATTTTGTTAGAAAGAGGTTTCTGAAAAGTAATGAATGCTCAGGAAAGTTGAATGTCCTACACATACCCTGGATCTATTTATATGTGAATTATAATTTCTTTAGTGATTATACCTGACAACCTGGTTGTTGAACAAGTTACCTGCCACATTTCCATATAAATACATTGCAGGAGTAATATTTTGCACAGTTATGAGTGACCCTTACCTCTATATGACGTTCTGCTCAGGTGTGTTTGCATGCTTTATATCTCCAGTCTTGGTTAGGGTAAGTGTGTAAGCCACCACATCCTTTTAGAGTTTCCTTGTGGTTACAAAAGCAGATTTCTTCAGCTTTACTTCCTGCAGATCATTAATCAAGAACTTCAATTTCAATAGACACTCCAGTAAAATAAATGGATAAATAAATTCCTTCTATCAATGGAAAGTAATTCATAACCACTTTTTGTTTGTATTCATAGTAATAGTAGAAGGTGGAATTTGGCTTTCCCCAAGTTGTTGTTTGTTTGCTTGTTTTTCTAACATTATGAGTCAGGTATATCAATTTTCACATTGGAAATATAATACAAAATAACAGAAACAAAACAAAACAAAAAAAAATCTCTTTTTGGAGTTTTGGGGGCGGGATTTTAGTGACTATAAAAAAATCCCTGTCTTTGAAAGGATAAAATTACATTTCATATTATTTTTCAATTTGGAGTATCTTCAAGTGACCAGCTTAATTTTTTCCATATTTTTCATACTCCATCAAAAAATTCCAAAATACTCAACCTCTGTTGTGCCACTAATCTAAACCTCAGCGCTTTAATTATTTTTCCTTTGTATTTGTTCTCAGTTCTTTCAGTTGTCTACCATGCCTACTAAATAATAAAATTTTCTAGAGCCAGGAATATCACTTACAGAATTTCTGTAGCACTCTAAACATTAGACCCATAATCTACACTGTCATACAATGTAAATAGCTTATTTCTGAATATTTCTGTTATAAATTACAATGAAAAGAGCTTTTCAATACTGGAAAGACAACTGAGCTGATTAAACACAAACTCGTGGAGAAGGACAAACACTACTTCTATCTTAAGGGATGCATTTAGAAATTACAACTCCCTTTGGCAGCTGCGAAGATACTGAAATCTATTATTCATCAATCAAGTTGTCATCACCTAGAAGATTAGACAGTGGCCCAAGAGACATAGCCAATATAAGTTTATAAATTTCTCAAGAATAAATAAATAACAAAAAGTCTAACTTATGGAGGATTTGGGCAGAGAAGGGGAGGGAAAGCACAGGAGGGAGTAAGTGACCTCATCACTGCAGACATACGAGGTACGGCATATCTCAGTGAGCAAGATTTTATATGCAATTCCATAAAACAATTTTATAAATAAAGCTAAAAAAAAGCATAGCCTAAATAAGACTAACATAAAGTAGCTACAAATATATTGAAAACCACCAATCAAAGAGTGGTTATTAGTGTCCCCTGTGAAGCTGAGAGGACAGACGAAGTGGAGGCTCCTGAACAGGCTCAGATGCTGGAGTAGAGAAGATACTAATGTAATTTGTGGATGACAGCAAGCTGGGAGTGGTTGCAAGCACTTTGGAGGACAGGATCAGAATTCAAAACACTCTTGATGATTGTGGAAGTACTGTGAAATCAGTAAGATGAAAGGTAGCAAAGGCAGTTACAAAGAGTTATGCTTAGAAAGGAAGGATCAAATGCACAGAAAATGGAGAGCATCTGGCAAAGCAGCAGGGCTGCAGGAAAGCTCTTTTGACACCTGAATACGAAATAGCAGATAGCTAACATAGTCTTACCTGCACGTGGGCTGCCCACTGAATAAAGACTGGGAGAGGGCTTTCAGACATCATCTGCTTTGTTAGGTCTGGAGATAAATCCCCAGCCGACTGCCATCCAGAAGTACCTTTGTGACCAGGAATTTTGCATCACCCCTGGCACTGACTGTGCCCAAAGGTGTCTCCCCCGTCTTCAGAACTATTTGCCACTTACAAGAGAGGGGGGGAACTGTGGGGAAATTGCAACCTGAGGTCACTGTAACTAAACCACTGTCTGTGAACTGGAGGTTCTCTTCCTCACGCACCCTCCCATCTTTCACCCTGGTGGTCCCTTGGCTGAGCCCACAGTGGCTACTGATGTCTACCTGGATTTGAGCAACACCAGGTGCCCTCGCTCAGCAGTGGGACAGAAGAAAAACAGGAAAAATACATAACGGAAGGTATATTTTTAGCTAATATGTAACAAAAGCATTTCAGTTTATTCACTCTGAGTGTCCCATTATCAAAATACCTATAGTCATCTCTCAGCCCTTAATACAGTTGAAATTATCTTACCTATCCTCTCCATTATTCTTGGTGACAAGTGAACAGTATAAATGCCTCACAGCTCGAGGATAAATATACTTCCCTTACAGATTAGGTTAGATGATATAGTGCAAACAAACATATCCATGAAAAGAAAATAGACATGCTAATCTATAAAGATTTAGATGAAGGAAGAAGCCATCAATCTGGCAGGAGTTATCAGTTTGTTTTTCTTCCTGTGTTACTACAGAGATTTCTTTTTAAGCTATCTATCCTGGCTATGCAGGAAATTATGCATGAATTTCAGCTGGCACACAATTTTTCCTAAAAAAAAAAAAATAGTATTTACCAAAAATGCATCCATTTCTCAGGTGTGGGAGAATGCCCTGAAAAAGAGACAATCTCTTATTTGAAACTCCTCTCTTCCTGATTAGGAATGCTCTGACAATGTGTTTCACAATAAGAACAAAGGGAGAAGAGACAAAAATAGCATTCCAACTCTGCTACCAAAACAAATAAAAGTGTGGCTTGAGAAAAGCTGTGCCATATGTATTTACACACACTTGGGTCTGGATTTTCTTGTTGTTCATATGCTTCATTGCATTCTCTCTTTATTCTAGAAGACATTTGTTGTTTCCCCAGCCCACTCCACACCTTGCAGTTGAGCTGGTAGCAGCACCAGGTATTGCTCTTTGCAGTACGTGCTATCTAGTGTACACAGGGCAAAATGAGATCCCACTGAGAAAGAGGGAAACCCAAAGAGCTTCTCAGCTCTTCCCTGTCTCACCTCAGCTCTGAGGCTGCCAGACACCAAGCAGTCTCAGCCTGGGTCACTGTCCACGACCCCAGGGTCTGGCACCCCTCACACACATGGGACCCCAGAGGCACCAAGGGAAAAGGCTTCCCCACCACCTCACTGAATGCTGGATTGAGTTTGTGATGGACAGATCAGAGGAAAACAGTACTTGTCTTAAATTGCCTTAAAAGCTATAAAAAACTATTATCTAGGCAACGCCTACCACCTTCAAGCCTAATCAAAAATTTAAACCCCTAACATTTCACCAGGCTGAAAATAAGGGAAAATTATTATGCTTGTGCAAAGACAGTCAACAAGGGCAGTGGTGGTGCTGGCTATTGCAGTATTCCACCTGGAGGACCCCAAAACATGGACTAAGTCTGACTGTCCTCTGAGCTCAACGTAGCAGCAGCTGAATGCTGATCACCGCTTGGGAAAAGGTGCTAAAGGCAAGGTTTGACTAGCATGGAACTGCAGGGAAGTTTAAGGAGAGGAGATCCAATTTCCAAACTAGAATTTGGCAAAACAATGGCTTTCATGGCTTCCAAAAAAGTGGAGTCATACTCCAGTCCACAAAAAATGCAACAGGTTATTACAGCTTGTCCACACTCTTTGAATAACCCAAGCATTGTATCAGCAAATCTCCAGCAGAAAAATATTTTTGCTCCTCACTCATATTAACTCTATAAATTCATGCAGCTCTGCAGGACCACCCTGGAGTCATCCAGCACTAACCAATAAACTAAGCAAATTCAAAACAAAAGGTCTTCACCACTGACAATGACTTATCTGGAAAGAAGCCAGCGTTAAATTCAGCTTGAGTTTACCATTTGGGTAATAGAAAAACACAGGAAACATTAACCGTGAATCTCACATAGCCACTGGTTGCAAAAATAAATAAATAAATAAATAAAAAGAAGATTCATTCTATTTATTGCATTATGCTGCTTTGAAACTGCCTTTCCTTGGATATGTTAAGTAAGTGATAATTCACAACATGTTTTCTTTAATGAATGAGATAGAAATGCCTTCAATTTCCACATAAATTAGAAGCATTTATATTCTAAACAACTGAGTAGTTATTTGCTAAATTATAATGATGCAGCTCCAGTCCAACTGATGTCAATAGGATTACTCATGTGAGTGATTACTTGTCAATGTGATTAAGGGGTCACTCTCTAATAGCAAATGAGACACCGTTTGCAGAATATTGCTATAAAAGTCCATGCTTTAAAAATTACGGCCAGTTTTTCACCACTGTTTTCCACATTCATGTAGGGAAATCTCCCACCACAGGACATTCCCCATGCAGAACCAGAGAGCCCTTCAAAGCGCACTCCCCAGGTCTGTCAGAGATTTGTGGATCCAGCCCCAAGCACCTCTTTTGCCAAGATTCATTACATGTCCCTTTGGGAAAGGAAGGGGTCTATGGGCCATGGTGTGTACAAAAACAACCACGTCTCTATTCAAGTGGGAGTTAACAGGCTTTCTTGACTGGCTAAACATTTATACGGTTACCTGTTTTGTACCTGCACACCTCACCACACACTAGGCATACACAACAATAAATGCTGTCATAATGACTATATCTGTCCACAGACGTGATCTCCTTCTTCATCCTTCTCAGGAATGCTGCAGCTGTGCACAGAAAACCTCAGCAATAGGTTAGGACAGATAGTGATAATACATTATCTGAAACTTTTGACTGCAGGATTAATTACATAGATCTTATTTTGGCCGGGACATGTGTAATTCATAGGAAATCAGATTGCATGGCCACATTTTATGTCTCCTCTACAGATGGAGCCTGTGGCATTCCAGGCACCCTGGTGCCATCCAGGGGTATTTGTTCAGCATTGACTCACAGCAGAAAGTGCCATCTCCAGTCAAAAACAACTCCCCCCAGCATCATGAAATTCGTATGAAATCTCTCATCCAAGTACTGGCCAACCTCCAACCAGCTTAGCGTGCAAGATCAAAGACTGAAGTGCAATAGCCATAGGCAACAGAAAGTACAAAAATTTATACACATCAATTCAGCAAATACTAATTCTACCAAAACAAAAAGTTAAAAAATAGGAAAACAACACCTGCATCTGTGTAAGTATTCTAAGGTAACCCCTAAATTGTATGGCTATGACAGAATAGACATGGGTGTTGATTTACAGGATTCTTCACCTCCCTAAGTGTACAGACAGATATTTTTAACATGGAGTACCACCATGCCTGTGCTTTCCACAATTAGATGTATGGTTTAACCTCCCAGAAATTTCAATATCCTTTCCTTTGTGATATCCTCATGGAGAGCTTCTGGAGACTTCACTGAGGACAAATGGGTGAGGCCAAAAAACTCAGCATGTGATCCAGACCTCCTGGCAATGATTTATATGTAGAATAATTTGGATACTGATAAGTTCCTTTAGCCCTCAAAGTAGTGTATCTGCTATTGCTTAGACCAGGCAATGACACTCCCTCTAATTCTCATGCTTCTAAAGGCTTTATACAAGTTAGTGAATGCAAAAGAGCTGATTTAAACATTTTCACATATTCTTTACACAATAGTAACCATAATGTTCAGCAATAAATACAAGAATCTCTTTTGAGAGAATGCCTCAATATTCTCCAGGAGCAGTAACATGAAAAAAATAGCAGGGATAACACGGAGGGAAAAGGGGAAGGCATTGAAACAAAGATGCTTTCTGTTGCAGAAGAGATGGCCATAGTTTCAAATACTAACAAATTTGTTAAGAGCTAATGACTAAAGCCTCAAGTTCAAACCACTCATACAAACCAATACACAGGCAAGGCTTACAAGGACGACTCTCATAAAACTGAAAGTCAGTTCTTCCTTCGTAAACCACACCAAGAAATACATTCCCAGATAAGCTATTTCTCTGTCTCTGTGACAACCGAGATGGCACCGTGGGTCGGAGCAGAAGAGCTTTGCAGCAGAACCCTCCCACGCAGCCCACAAAGCCCCGTGGTGACGCGGGACTGCCTGGGAAGGAGTCCAATATGGACATTGGGGGAAATGGTGGGTTTGTGCAACTCCTCCACCATGAAACCCTTGCTTATTATGAGAGCTGTAACAAGCAATACTAATTCCTCTTCACCATTTAAAGAACTACAATTGTTCATTTTCTCCACTGAGAATGAGTTGACAACCGGGATCTACGTCTTTCCGTTATCCCACTGCACAGAAAACTTGGCCAAGAACAACATGCATTGGACTACAACTTAGGAAACACACTGGAAAGCACAGCCCCTGGCTTGCAAACAGACACAAAAAAGGGATGTTCACCTGGAGACGACCAGGATTTGGTGCTTTGACTAGACAGTATTGACATTGGCAGAACATATTAAACTGACAGCTTAGTAGAAGATATCAGGTTGCCTCACTTAGTTCTTTCACCTTCATTAAAAACAAACAAACCCACCACCAACAAACCAACCAACCAAACAAAAAGTACCTTTTAACGTGAAGAAATGTAATAAGAGGCAGAAATCTTCTGGACAAATCTTCACATGTTTAAGTGTATATTTGACAAAGCAGTGATCAAATTAGATCTGTCAATTTCCTCTGCATTTCTCTGCTGGTCCTTGGGGGACCAGCAACAAGTGGATGTCATGAAAGACAAGCACTACTAGTACTAGCGCACAGCGTACATCCAGGACATGAGGGCAGATACTGCAGAGATACAGAAAATGTTACTAGTGGAAGTTAGATAGCTTTTGTCCACACAGAAAGTAAAAGAGGCATAGAGAAAACAACAAATAACAAGAACTCATTATTCAAGCACAAGCAGGTCAGAGTCATACTAAGCAAAAGCTGTGGCGTGTAGTCTCCCAGGCTAAGGAAGCCATCTCAGGAAGAAAACTACAAAGGAGCAGTCCTCTGTAAGAAGAAAAAAATAATAATTGTTATACTACATATTTCAGCATGGTAAAGGTGTTTTGGTGGCACCTTGGACTTTAGAAATTATTTTCCACATTGGACACTTAGAGATAGTCCCAGTCAGCTCCAGGATTCAATTTACAAATGTTATTAGGATGTTTGTGTATCATTAAGGACCACTTGACTGTAGATCTACCCTAATAGAGAATAAGCTGAGTGGAGCAGTAAGCAACCTGTTCAAAAGTTTATAGCCAGATGAATCAGCAAGGAGAATAGTGAAGTGATGGTCAATTTCCCCACACTTTTAAAGAGCTGTGAATAGCAAGCAAGCGGACTCGTTCCTCCAGCAGGTCCCTTTCATCCCGTGATTCAGCACTCACCTCGATTATGCCCACAGTGGGGCTGGCTTTGATGGTCTCCAGCTCCCACCCACTGCAGGAGATGGATATATTTCGTTGCTTTCAACTCCTGACCTGTGCTCAGCTCCTGACGATGAGGCTCCCGCTGCAGACTTTGCATCCCCGTGTAAAGCAGGTCCCACTTTTTGCCAAAGCAGCGCTCTCAACTCACGACTTCAGGAAGTGTGTTTGAAGTCTACTGCAGCCTTTCTGTCAATACCACTCTCATCACCACCAAGTCAAGTTAATAAGCTCAGTTCATCAGCCTTGTCCCTTTGACTACTTCTTTCCTGAAGGGAAATATAATGCATTTAACATGTCAGATGTTTAACAGGCTCTTTCATGTGCAACCTCAGCTCATCACTAATAAAATACATTTTACTCTGCCGTTTTGTTCCCTGTGTGCTCCATGCTGTATTGAATTCAAGTTATAACATTTCATCATACTTCTTTCTTTTTTTTTTTTTTTTTTTTTAGCAGGAAATAGCCATGTGCAGCCTCCTTACAGCCTCCCAGAGCTCCAGCTGCCCTGCGCCAGATGCTTCTACACAAGGACAGCAAGGAGGAGCAGAACCAAACGCACCAGGAGATGCTGCACAGACCCGTGTGGCCAACCTCTGTTCTAAGCAGCTCTCCAAATCCTCCCTCCTCGTGAGGAACCTTTCCGGCTACCCGCAGGCCTCGCCGGCTGCCCAGCGAGCTCTCCTCCCTCTCTCCCCAAAAAGCAGCTCCAACAGCACAGACGTGGCACTGCACTTTTCCTCCAACTGTGCTATTCGAAGCAAAAATGAGAAGTGTTGGGATTGACCAACTTAGGTGTTAAAAATCCAGTTCTCATCTCAAAGAGCACTGAGGCAGGCCAGGCCGGGCAGCTCGGGGCCCCACGGGAGCTGCTTCCTGAAATGCCAGCCGAGCTCTCTGGCTCGCAGCCGTTGCTTCAGACAAGCTTTTTTAGCAAGACACAAACTTCAGGAGGTTTGTCCTATGCGGAATGAACATCGTTCATCACTTTTTGAGAATCACCAGTCACTAAAAGTTAATGCCTCTCAAAGCTTCTCAATTGCAAATTCCTTTCTAATCCAAAGTTAAAAACAACCTCTGAAATGCAAATAACCCAGCAACCTACACAAGATGATTTATGCCATGCCATCTTTTTCATGCAAATAAATTAAAAGAAGGAAATGTAATTTAGGGTGAACTGCATTGTATAATAAAATAAAAGAGTGACATTATTCTGCAAAACTCAGTGCAATGTTTTTTTACTATTGCTACTGGAGGTTTAACCTTCCTGAACACGCAGGAAAGATTTTGATTTATTTATTTTGATTTTCATTTTTATACAAATCATTTTACAGCTTTGGTTATGTCAGGAAAAGACACATTTTATTTTTTTTATGTTGGTGTCATTTCAAGGGAATGTTGGAAGTTTGACTCTCAATTAATGTTTGAAGCTGCACAAGAGAACTATGAACCTTTTTTTAATAGTAAACCAACAGGGACACAGATCACTGTGCTGAACCCAGCGTAACACACACACACCAGGCAAGCTGGGAGTGCCCCGTGGAAGCAGCAGGCTTAGACATTTCTGATAAACACGGCCCTCAGATCTGCAGCCTCAGAAGAGGAAGGGCTTTCCTGTCCAGAAAGAACAGGAACTGAGGGATGCTCAAAAAAGGTATGCACCAAAGAAGTCAACAACAGATTTAAAAAAAAAAAAAAAAAAAAAAAAAAAAAAAAAAAAAAAACATGATGTAACAGTCAGCGTTTTGTAACTCTATTCCAGCAGTGGCGATCACAAAGAGAAAGGTGACTTTTTTCTGTGAGGATCGCCAGAGACTAAAATCTACAGTAAAGGAGACTGGGAGCCCAGGCAGGGCAGCACCACTGCAGCACCCCTCGGTGGGAGCAGCATCCCTCTGCTCAGGGAGCGGGCAGAGCCTGGCCCCCTCCGATGGCTGCCTGTGACTGACAGAACTGCACCTCCCCTCGTGTTACCTTATGGCTCATGTTAACATTTGGGTTCTTGTTCTGCTCTGTTAAACTTTATCAAATGGAGGGGAAGAATCTATTTTGATAAAATGAGTGGATACGATCATGCCAGATGGGGTAATTGTACTCTGTTCAACAAAACTCTCCAGCAACAGCACGCCCTTACGGCCAAGCTGGCTGCTGTGTCGTGCAGATCACTTCAGACTGGAAGCTAAACTGCGAGAGTACTTATAGATTTGTTTACTATCGCTGTGCAGCAAGTTGGGCAGGGTGCAGAAGCGCCCTGCTATAAATAACAGCAGCAAGGGGATGTCAGTTCCTAGCACAGGGAGGAACGCTGAAGCTTTCTCAAAAGGATGACTTGCACAGTATATAAATCTGAGCCAAGTGATACCACTCTGAGTCCCATTAATAGCAAAGAGCTTGTCCTAAGCTGTCGGGCTGTCACAAGACACTTCCAGCTCAAGGACACCCTGTTAAGGCACCTGGCCACACCAAACCAAGTCGGGAAAGAAAAGGCTGCCGCAAGCTAGGGCATTACAGACAGCTTGTGCTCAGTACCTGAAAGGATTTTGTGGTCTAACATCCACATAAATTGCTGCCAGCAGCTTATAAAATCCAGGGATTGATCTAAAAGGCTCTTCAAATTATGTTTTAAATCACAAATTTCATCCAAGTAAAGACATGGGCCTTAACTTTATTTTTATTAATATTAATAGCAGTAAGAAAAACCTGCACTATTAAAAAGCAACAACTACTTACAAATGAACGGATCATTTCTAAACCAGGGTCATTTCTCCTGGTAATGATAAGACCCTGTCAGGTAATCATAATCCTTCCAGAAAAATGCTTTGCCTTCACTGCTGTCCTCTAAGATAGTAAATCTGAGACAATCTGTCTGGTTCTTAAAATATAATTCCTCTTTGCCAGGATTGATCTTCTAAAATGGACTGGAGGACATGTCTTCTCGTTTCTTCTTTTTCTCTGCATTTTCATTGGCAAAGCCTCAAATCAGCTTAGGGTTGTTTTGTTCATCTCCCCGTATGCATGTTTTTGCAGGAAAGGGAAGTCTTCAAACAGAAAAATATCATAAGCATCAGCCAGGGACTGTAAAATCCCAAGCTCCAACTCAAATTCTGCCAAAGAGACAATGTGTGGCCTTGGGAAAAATCACCTCTCCTCCCTGCAGGCTCTCCATCTGCTTCTCGCTAATAAAATGGGATTATAAAACTGCCCCATCCCAAAGGGCAGGTAAAACTTTGAAGGTGAAAATTGTGTTACAAGCATGATACATTATTATAACACAGCAAAAAGCCTTTCAGGCCTCTTTTCTTCTATTCAGTGCAAAGCAGCCACATTTCAAAATGAAAGCTATGGACCGGCTTTTCCATTTGCACAGATTTCTTTCAGCAGGCGGCAGATTAAAGCTGAAAGAATAATCCATAGCAATTAATTTATTCAATGAATTTAGCCTCATTTTCTGTTCACAAAATGCCTGCAAGCCATCTACCATTTTTTTGTGGTTCAGTCATTATTCACAATTATTGCAATGTAACTCTTGGTCTGTAAATTACTCCTGAATAATTAGCTGAGCGTGTTTTATAAGCTATTTGGGTTAGTTTCAATTTAATACACAGGGCACATCATCTCTCCATCCTCTACTCCCCATTGAGAATAAAAAGTGCATTCAGTGAGCGCACCCAAAAACACCCCAGTAGCTCTTAGACCTGCTTGTTCCCTGCAACAGAAAATGGAGCCCCACTGTGTGGTTCCCAGTAAACTGCTGTTTCCATTCCTTGGTGGGTCAGTCTCCCACTTCAGAAACATGCTTCCAGAGAAAAGGCATATTTTGAGAAGCTGACCATGTTTTCTGTCTGTTGGTATTTTCCTATACTGGTTTGTACAAACATTTCTACCACAATAGAGAACTACTGCAACATCTCCAAACAGAAAAAAAAAAAAAAAAAAAAAAAAAAAAAAAAAAAAAGAGGAATTCTTCAAGGTATTTTACTTAAAGGAACATCCATAAAGGTATTTTAACAAAACATGTATAAGATTACTGGTGGGTAAATAGGATGCTGGCACAGTCCATGCAAGTTGCCATCAGCCAGGCTTCATATAGGTTCATAGACATTTTAGCATTTTAATGTGCTATTGGCTTAGCAAATAAATAAATTACAAAGTGCAGGAAAAGCTTCTGGAAAATACATTAAGGCAATTTGCAAATAATTGCAGTGAGCTGGGCTATTATGACTTTGACTTCAGAAGTATAAAATCTCCCAGAGATAATGATGATAATCATATTGAAAATAGTTGCCACCCTTTAATCTTCTAAGACAAAACAGAGATCGTTGGGAATTTGGGACCCTGTCACTCTAATTGAACATCTGACAGGAAAGTAATTAGAGTGGAAAGCAGAAAGGTCACCTGGTTGCCCGAGCAGAATTCATCAGCTTCCGCTTGCCATCGCACGGGGCAGCCAGTTCATCTCTCACACAGGTTTCTCATTTAAATAGCTTCTTTGCCAATAAAAAGGCTGTCAGACAGACCGTTTCCAGAACGGCTTTGGATTTGAGTAACTCACTCTGGGCATGTAAAGATTCACCATCGATTACACAGGCAGCTCAGGAAAAATGGCACCAAAACATTGGGACAGAAGTCATTTGCTGACAACTCTGTTAAGATGCAGGATCTCTTACTGGAGTTTCATCTTCCTAAAGACAACAGAATCACAACAAAAGTCAGCTGTGCAAAGGAAGCTCCACCATTTCCACTATAAATATTTTTCTGCTGACCCCACCTGGCCTACCATCACTTTTTCAAAGTGCCGGCTGCTCTTATTGCCTGCTTACTTCCCTCGGTCCAGGCCACCAGGATGCTGCCAGTGCAGGGTCAGTGCAGGGATGTTTGCTCCTTGGCTGCCCGGCCACCTCTGAGCATATCTGGAGAATGAGCATTGCTTGGTGCATGGTCTCTGCACCACTGATGGCCTGCAGACAGGAAGAAAGTCCACATGAAAGTGGCAACAAGGCTCCTCGACGGACAGAAAAGCGCTTTAAGGAAAGAGAAAAATGCATTCTGCTGCTGTTTTGTCACAGGAGGCTTTCAGAGGAGGTTTAATAGAGTAGATCTCTTGGAATGTGGTGGAAACATCCCATTGATCCCGTTGGCTTCAAAACAAAAATAAAAATACACTAAATCCACTGTAACTTTTCAGTGCTTGTGTTTTGATGAAATGGTCAGAAAAGCTATCTGTCAGTGTAAGACATGATCCAGGCATGCAAAAAAATCAAAATGTCATAAAGATCATCTGTTTGGTTAATTCAGCAGCATTATCAGACAGTTAAACAGAAAAGTAAATACCAGCTGACAGTCACAGCAAATCTCATAGACTTTAATTAGTGTGACGTATGGAGGCAATTTCACCCACGATGCCTATCTTTGGGAAATAATTTGATTTCTATGTGTTTTGTTTTTGTTTGTTGGTTTTTTTTAGTTGAAATGTCTGTATCTTATTATGTGTTGTCAACACAACCGTATTTCAACCTAGCTAGTTAATAAGAATACTTCCTCTGGTTTTCATATATTCTTTATTTATATACATATATATATATACATATATACACACATGTATATACACACACATACATAGATCCCAAAATAAAACCTAGAGAAGCTCCTAAAGGGTGCTACAGGTTGTTCTTGTCTAATACATGAATCTAATTCCCCTACAGAGCAACAAAATATTGTCTGCCTCAGGACAGTTAATCTGAAGGTGGCAACTTGGCAAAGCTGGCTCTCATTTTACTTTAAATCCTTAGGAAAATGAGGGTCAGGTCCCAGGTGATGCATGTTAGCACTCTGTCCCCCCTGGGGCCATGGGGCACAGTGCTGTCCAAAGTAAACGAGCTGCTTTGTGTCAGAAGGGGCTGGAGGAGCTGTGCCAGGACACATGCCCCAGCTCTGCTCCCACCGTGCCAACCCCACCATCGCTTCCCAGAACAGTCTTCAGAAACTTGTTCTCAGCCACCTTGCAGATATTTAGTTGATGCTGTTTAACTCAGGGCTATCGCTCAAGGATAACAATAAGAAGGCCTCCCTGCATTTTCAGAGTTCTGGGTGAGATCTAAAAATGAATTACCTAGAAAAAAGTGCATCAGTGAGCTGGCTGTGTTCCTGTGAGAAGGGTAGCAACTAAAAACCTAAGAACCTGAGAATTGAAGACATTCCTGAATTCCTATCATTTCCACATAGTTAGGTTGGCTTTTTTTTTTTCTTTACATAAATGTGATCAAATGGTATCACTGGCATTTGAAAATTTACTTTTTCTTAGCATCACCACATTACTCTAAGCAATTCTGCATGTGCCATGCTGAATGGTTCTTCCAATCCTTTACATTTGTAACCTTCAAACACTCATAAAAAGTTATACTTCCCCTTAAGTCATCATTTAGCCAGCCTATACATATTTAATTCTTTAATCTTTCCTCATAAATCCCATCCTAGCTTTAATCATTTTAGCTGCTCTTTGAATCATCTCCTTCTTCCCAGAACTGGCAGGAGGAGCAGAGCCCCAGTAGAGGATGACAAGAAACGTATATTGAGAGACAACTGCAATTGCTCTGCAACTTAATACCTGTAATCCATAATTATGTCGTACTTTCATTCAACTATCACTCTTAGAACTAGAATTTAACCTACCATTAAAATCTCTCTTGAAGGCTGTGTTTCCCATGTGATGCTCCTCCACTACATGGATTTGATGCATGTCCTCAACACTTCAGCTTCAGGAAACAGCAGTGATGCACCTCTCTCCCTTTGCACCTTAAAGGACAAGTAACTGATCTGTGTTTGTCTGTAGGTATTTCAAAGGCTTTCCTGTGAGAGTCACGTCAAGAGGATACACTTTAATTTGGTACTACTTCCCCCCTACACACAAACACACACAAACACAGTGGTCTGACAGACCTCATCTGCTGCAGCTCATTAACAGTAAAGTCACCGTACAAGTTTTTGGGTTTGGTTTTGGGTTTTTTTTCCCCTTCCTAACATCTACCAGGTAACAATTGCAATGGCCCAGCCAAAGTTTTAAAACACTGGTGTAGAAAGCACTAACAGGTCTTATGCTGCTCTAGAGGAAGGAAAGGATGCAGGTTTTGATAGACAAAGAGGTGGATAGATACAGCCATAAATATAATTATACTATGACACATTTCAGAATTTTTCATTCTGTTCTCCCTTTTGGAATAACAAATACAAATTTGAAAACTTGAGTTAATTACAATACAGGACCAAATCCATTTGTTTAGACTATTCAAACGGATGACTTATTCTTCAGCAGATGTGTTGTTAACTATGCAGTACAGCTCAAGTGAGGCTATTAAAATCCTATACCACTATGAAAAATTAGCCAGAGTGGAGCAAAAAAGCTGCTCAGTGTTATTACTTAATTCATATTATTGATAAAGCTCACTGTTGTGTGTGATCAAATACAGTATCTAATAGAAGTATTGTATGGTGTGGGAAAAGAAAGGAAAAGAAAAGAGAAAGAGGAGACAGGAAGGGAGGGGAGAAGGAGAAGGAAAAGACAGGAAAGACAGAAAATAGAATTTATGATTGTCCTTTTTAGTTCTATTTTTTTGTTTCTTTGTTTGTTTGTTTGTTGGTTTTGTTCATTTGTTTTTTTGTTTGTTTGTTTTTAATAAATGAGGAAGATATTATGCTGGGTCATCAGGAAAGCCACTAAACTTTGCATATGGAACTAAAATAGAGCTGATAAATGTTCCTCTCAAAGTCAGCTTATCTGACAAGACCTAAGCCAAATAAATAAATAAATAAATAAATAAATAAAACTTGAAAATGAAATGCAAAAACTGATAAGCTGCAAGAAAAAAAAAATAAAAGGTCAGGAAATAATTTGTCTAAAAGAACATATGATCAGAAGAAACAGGTTTTTATTTATTTATTACTATCTCCGTTTTTAAAACCAGGAAATTAAGAAGGACAGTCTTTTTCAATCAAGACCTTGATGAATCAGTGAGTCAGACATGCCACGTGTAGTCCAGTACTTATTAAAACTTCTGTTAATACATTAACGTAAATGTAGCAACAGCAGCAGGGCCACTTCTGATTTTGCAGCACATTCAAAAATCAACAGATTAATAACACTTTCAAGGAGGGTACCAACCAGAGGGAGGTGTGAGGTGGTCGCATCATGGAGGCACTGCTCAAAGGAAACTGCTGGGGGGGTGCAGATGGTTGTCAGAAAGGTGTGGAGAACTTGCCACAGGGTAATGATCAAGTCAAAACTGCGATGAACGAGACTTCCTGCAATGTACATTGATCTGCAAGCGATCATTAAACCTGTAAACAACGCGCTGTCGCAAGTGATATTACTACTAAGATGCTCTTCTTTTTATCTTGTGCTTGCCAGAACGATTTTACCTATGGCAATAAGCTGTAACAGGCAGTTGTTCCTCACTTGCAAGGTCATTGCTCAAATCGGAGGAATAATGCCTACCACAGCACTTTCAGCACAGATCCTGGAGGACCAAAAGGCTCCATCTAAATAATTCAATACAGCTAAAAAATCACCAGCACCTATCAAGAGCATATTAAAAGCATTCCCACTCAGTGTCCTGCTGCAGACATTTTTCTGGTTTCTAAGCCTTCACAGGATTAATTATTGCACACATCTGCTGAAGACAAAGCCCCACCTATCACTTCACTGGGGTGCCTACACAAACACAGAGCCCTTCCTGCCAGCCCAGGTGCACGTCTTACCTAGTGCTCAGCAGAGGTGGGTTCATCTCACCACTGGTGAGTACTCCTCAGAACCTCGAGTTCAGCACACCATGCCCGTTCTCTTCCTTGAAAGGAGCTGGAGAAGCCCTGAGAGGTAACACAGGATCGAGCTGATTGCCTGTGACATGTCCAGCCCAGGCAGGCTGGGATTGAGCCATCCCCCAGCCACATCAGGGGTTAATGGACCCGTCCTGGGCTCAGCTGCCATGAGCAAGAGAACAAGAGTTTGTCCTGCGCCTCTCATGCAGATTTAATTTTCCCTTTTGCCTCATGTTAAAAAAATAGCAGATGTGATTAGGCAAAATTAAAGAGAATTTACCTAATGTCTCTTCTTGTACCCCGTTAATCTTTTATACCAACACTACTGGAAAATTAATTTTTTTAATAAAGTGATGGTAAGATCTTATGAAGTGATAACTCTTATATGAATTGCTATTGTCTGTAGCAGAGAACTTTGACAAAAGCAAAATACACAGGGTGAATAACATTGATTTTACAAACATGCAATTCATCAAATGACACAAATCAGCCCAATGACATGAAAATACATCTGGAGACTTCATAATGTCACCTTACACTCCTGATAGGATTTGGCAGATACTGTGTGAAAAGCATTGCTTTGAGCTGCTTTAAGCTGCACAGAATGCTATTATAGCATAAAACTATTCTATTGCTTTAATACTAGTTATTTTCTCATCTCTTTGGGGTTTTCTTTCCTTCTAATTTTACAACTGTTAAACTACTGACATGCTTTCTTCCATTCCAGTCAAAACGGCATCCCATTCTCAAATCAAAGCACATCTTTTTTTATACACTGAGGGAGTATGTGGAAGATTTCCCTGTTCATTCACATCCAGTGAAAGGCGAGAAGGAAAATACAGTGAAGCAAACTTTCAGTATTTGGCTGTCTTTGATCAGGAGATTCTGAGCATGGGACTTATCTTCTGCTTCATCTTCAACCCTTTCTCAATCTTACCTTCAATCGCACCTCCTGCATGGGATCACCTTCTCTCACGTTGGGCTCATAGGAGTGAGATGGGCTTTTAGTCTCACCAATCCGTGTATCTTCTGAGTACTCACACTCCTGCTGAAACCACCAGCCCTTCAGAACCTTCCAACATTTTGCCATAGTACCTGATACACTCAGGGTCTTATCAGATAGGCACAGAAAAGGGCCCAGGTATTCTTGTGTTCTCCTGCTGTGGCTTTTGCTGACTTCAGAGGAAGAGGGCATGAGCTGCAGCAGTATGCAGCACAGACTGTCCAGAGACTTCTGTCTTCAGGGCTTTACTCATGATTTAACAAAGCACAATTGAAAAGGCTTTTGAATAAATACAAAATGATCGTTTACATTGTAAATAATGCATTGGTTTCTGATGCAAAAATGCTCTGACAGAGGACATTGATGCAACCAAACACCATGTTAAGTGATTCAACAAATAGCAAAATTTCTGGAATACTCTTGGGGTAATGTATTTTTCTGTCTGTTTGTTTGTTTGTTTTGTTTTGTTTTGTTGTTTGTTTTTGGTTGGTTGGTTGGTTTACTTGTATGTTTGTTCTCTTCTCCTTTTGTATTATCTATTGATTGCTATTTTGCTAGTCAGCAGCAGCTTCTCCATATGCCTTGGTGTTTTATTGCCCACAGGATACATTTCCATACTACCCCAAGTGTACTGATGACATGTAATCCTCTACCCTGAATACTCCAACTGCTATTAGACAGGTATATAAGTAACTGCAGAATTGTGGCATTTAATTTCTTCTCTTTTCTCTCCTACCCTTTACATATTTGTCCCATCACAAGATATAATCCAGGTACTGAGCCTTTTCACAATACACATAAGCCATGCACTAGCAAAGGCCAAGGACCAGCTGTGCCACAGAGGAAGTGGTTTTGCACCAAAACAAGACTCAGGGAGCATCCCAAAATGCAGCAACATCTGAGCTCAGTGTGAAGCAGCAAAATACAAGTCATTAGGTACAAATGATCCCAAATATTATCAGTTATCATGCTGGACTAAACTCATCCACTTTTTTTTCTGCACTTCTGGAGCAGCACAGTGAACAAAAACCTGATCTTGGCACCAGGCAGATGTGGATATTCACAGCTCCACCAAGGTCTCTCTGCCTTCTGCTGGCACACACAAGGCATACCTTGCCCTGTTTCCGATACATTGAAGGCTCTTCATGTACACATGATGTTCTCTAAGACAGACTGCACTTTGGTTTCAATAGAAAAAAGAATTATTAAAAATATTCCAGTTTAGATCATGAAAAAAAAATAATCTAGGTTTTACTTTTGCATTTTTATTCAGTTTTGTTGTGCGGAAAGACATCAATATTTTTAAAAGCTTGACCTGTTTTTCATCATTAGTATCAAACTTGATCCACAGCAAATGAAGTCAAATGAAAGAAATTTACACTAATTTCTGATTTGCTTAACAGTGCGTTTAGCTCACCCCAAATGCCATCAGCCTAATTTTCCTAATGATACTTTTTCTGCAGATTGCTTTAAAATGATGAGGAGCTGAAATAAAATTCTTCCCATGAAGAGAAAAATTAGTATAAGTAGAAATTTAATTGTGCATGCTAATTGTTTTAGCAATGCACTTAATGTCAAAGCTACTATTAGTTGATAAAATAAAATTAGACGATAAAATCTAAAAATTTGGAAAAGGGTGGAAAAGGGAATCAGTGAAAGAAAACTTGCAAAACTTCTCAAGAATTATCATCAAGCATATTCTCTGTGCTCTAAACTAAGTGAAACTAAACTAGGTCTGGATTTTTTTGTTTACCTTCTGTTTCTTCTTACTTACGTTGCTCTGGAAGAAAATGTAACTTCATATGATATGAATTCTAAATAGTAACCTTTGAGATAATTAAACAAATTTTCCAATAAACAGCAAAAAACTTCATTAGGTAAACACCAAATCATGCTGTTTGGGCCTCAGTTTCTCAAGAAGCCAGCAGAAGAGCCCACAGGCCGCTCCCTAACCCCCACAGCCCAGCACTGGGAGGACAAACACACCTGGGAAGGATGCGACTGACAGTGCCGTGCCTCTGGCATTCAGCTCTGCTGACACAGGACCAGGCGTTCAGCTTCCCGTGTGTGATTTCCTCCTCGATCATCAGTAGCAGAAATGTTCAAAAGCAGATGCTAACACGTCCCTAATAACATGCCTCCTTCTGCAGAGGCAGCATCTGCCATGCCAAAACCTTCCCAGCATCGTGCACAAGCGCCTCGGGCTGCCTGCTTTTCCATGAGCCGTGCCGTGCAGCCAGCCAAGCGCAGCTGTTCCAGCTGTGGAAATGTTCTTTGTAGGGCAGGGTCCTTGGTCCACATCTTTGGTGGCCCTCTGCTATTCTCATTCCTTGGCTTGAGCCTGCTGCCCTACTTAATGCTTCAACACGCACTACTAACACACCGGATGATAAGAGTTGCTTGAGCCTTGACAGATAACTTGCCTTCAGCTACGCATTTATCCCACCTGCTACGTGAAGCAGAAGAGATGCTTTTGGCATATTTCGAGGCAAATAACCAACCAGCATGGATCCTATTTGTATCTTCTAAGTTTAATACAACTTGATGTTAGGCTGAACTGGGTTAATAGAAAACTAAAAATAGATGCTCCTGTTATCAGAATTGCTCACTAATTCTGACACAAGCCAACATTTGTTTTTATTAGTAACTCACAGAAGTAATTTATCTAAATGAAGTTGCAGAACAAGATCAGTATTTTGCAGCTGGGCCCATTGCTTTCACTGTTTTGAATGTACATCTTTCAAAGCCAACTAAAGAAACACCAAATGTCGTTCTGAACTTTGCTGCTATCTGTTGCCAAACCTGTGTCAAGCACTGTCAGAGCAGCAGGGCCTGCCATCATCCTGCAGGCAGAGGAGGAAGGACAAGCAGCACCCTGGCCCTCTTTAACCTTTTGTGCCCAGATACACCACATCAAGCACCTCCCTACTGAGGAAATCCCCCAGGGAAGACAGGGCATCTTCCCAACGCCATTATCCAGCAGCTGCATTTTGATCTTCAGTTCAAGAAAACACTAAATACAGAGAGATACGAAAACCCCAGGCAGACGAAGGGCCGTTCGCATGCCAGCAGCAGCGATGCCATGCCTGCCCATGTTGGATGGTGGATACAAGGTCCTGGCCGTGTGGCTCTGTAGCTAGGATGATCTGTTCGTGGCTGGTTTTGGCACCCCCAGCAAGCCTCTGGGATGGGGCAGAGCAATGTTCAAGCCTTGGCTTTCAGCTATTCCCACCTGGGAATGCCGAGCTGAAGGGGTTTCTCTCTCTATCATTTCTTGGGTGGGAGTTTTAGAGAGATTTCACCCAAAATATAGGGGTGGGGAAAACTGAAAAATTAATGTTTCATACCTTGATATATTTTGTAAATTGTTTTGTAGCTCCCAAGACACTCCTGTCAGTGATGTTATGCCAAAAATATAGTCCATCTTCACAGACTCCCAGAGTCCGGCTCTCCCAAGTTCTTGCTCTGGTTGCTCACAGCGAAGTCGCTCCGGTGCTTTCTGCATCACGCGCAGGTGACTGCTCAGCAGAAACAGATGTGCAGCTGCTGGAGAGAGCAAAACACAAACAGAGGTTGCAGGGGAGAATGTATTTATTCAGCCATAAATATCTGCTGTGGACACTCAGGGGAAAGTAAGGACAACTGAAAATCACTTTACTTCTGTGAGAAAAATGGAAGGCAACTGAAGAAGCGTAGTGTTATGGGATCGAGGGTCTTCCTCCCCTGTTTTCTTTGCCCAAGTTCTCTTTATCAGACTTCACCAAGCCTGTCATTTGGGGTTTCTGTGTGATCAGTCACAGGCCAGAGTCTGTCATTCTGTGATAGCATCTCTGGGGCAGGCGGCTGCCGCTGGATCCCTCACCCTGGGGGTGAGGCTGCCTCCCATGAGGAACGTGCTGCTGGCAGTGCTGCAGGAGGAGCTGGATGTCTGCAGGATGCCAAATTCAGGCTGAAACGCGTGGGTGTGCACACTCCCGCCTGCCTGCCAGCAGGACTTTCAGCTGCGTGCCCCTGGGGTCTGTTTGTGCCAGGACAGTGCAGCCATTTCCCAAGGAGAGCTGGAGCTCCTCCACAGAGCTTTCATTACATATTCAGGAAGGGAAAAAAAGAAAAAAAGAAAGAATCTAACTTAACAAAGTGCCCTCTTCTCACCTGTAGGGCTGATAGGCCTCTCACACCCAGCACCAGACCACAGAGACCAGCCTGAACCGTGTCAGCACTGCCCCTGGTGTCCCACCAGCCGATGGCCCCGTTTGTACTGCAAGAACGGCGGCCCCCAGAGCTGGGGCTGGCCTCTGGAGCTGGAGTTTAGCTCAGGCAGTGGATGTAATTGCATAAAGGCATTGCTATTTGGGACCACATAAATACAGTACCTTCTTTCAGGGTCACGGTGCCTGCCTAAGATGCACACAGCCAAACGTGCAAGGGATGCTGGTCCTAAACGTCAGATGTCTGGGACATGCATCTCCAGGGTATTCATAAGCTGCTCAGGAAGTGCTCGCAGGAATGGCTGCAGCTTTATTTTAGAGGATAGAGGGAAAAAAATAAATAAATAATAATAAGAAGAAGAGAAACAAAAAAAAAAAAAAAAAAGCAGCATTTTATCTGCATCAGGTACTGGCACAGGGGCTTTTCCTTGTCTCTGTCCCAAAGCAATATAGTAACTCAAGTGTCATTTAGTTAAATTAATCCAACTGAAATATTCACCTTGCAGCAATTAAGTAAAAGAACCTATAAAACACCTCCTCCAAACAAGGTAATTTGCTGTTTCAAGTCTGAATCATGTTGGCATGAGAATACAGAGACTAACAGGTACACTAGAGACGTGTGAAGTGATTTTAATTGCCTGAAACTCCAGTACTGTCAAACTGCAGGGCAGGCAGGGAAAGCCTTTATAGTTCTCTCACTGCTAGAGATGAGTAGGGTGTCTGAGCTTGAAATGCCTCTACATGATAAAGGGCTTAAAATAGTAATCAACTTTCATTATTTCATTATTTCAATAGATACGTGGTGGGTTTTGTTGTTGTTTTGCCTTTTTTTTTTTTTTTTTTTTTTTACTCCTGTGGCTTTCTGCATGTGCTCTGAGTCAGTAACTAGGTCACACAGATAGGAGAAGCTATGGGAGGGAAATAACTTCTGTGTTCTGGGGATAATTCACGCAGTCAGCTTCCCTGCTGCGAGGCAGCGCGGGGCTGGGGCACGATCAGTGCTGGGGCAGCTCCGCAGCCTGGGGCTTGGCCAGCAGCACCCCCAGAAGGGCCAACGCACTCCCCAGTGCCCCAGGCATCACCACCTCGTCCTGCCCTGCTGGCCAGGGTCTCCAGCAAGGGGGCCAGGCCCCGTCCCACCGGGAGAACTACGCCGCTGGGGATGCAGCACCACTGCTGCACATGCCCCTGGCTTCCAAGGTGCTCCGCAGCCCAGATAAATGGCACAAATTGTGTGTTGCTCTGCTACCCAGTGGAGAAAAGGGTAACTGAGTGCTTAATCCAAGTTGCTTTCCTAACTGCTGAATATTTGCATGCTACATGGCCTCCAGGGCAGTGAAAGGAGCGCGGGTGAAATGGTGCCTGGCAGTGCCATGGGCCCTGGGGCCCTGCTGCCAGTGTCTGGCCACAGACACCTTGGGAATGTTTCGTTTTCTGAAAATAAGATTTAAAATGCGTTCCCCAGGAATGATTCTAAATATGTTCTGAATATAGTTTATGGGGATAGTCGTGATATGCTTACAATTGCTTTTAGAAAATGTGTTTTTGTTCATATGCTATGTAACAGAGCTGTCCTTGTGCAGGCAATCTGTACATGACAAATGTCAGCCCTCAACAACACGTGACAAATATGTGTTGTCACAAAATATATCAAGGTATGAAACACGTGTCAACAATACGTGACAAAAACCAGCCCTCATTCCGCCAAACCAGACACATCCTACAGCAGGTAAGAGACAAGAGACAGATCTCGGCTCTTCACAACTTAGTTCCAACTCCTGACTAAATAAGGATGGATTTGGTTGGGTTTGGACCACGTACACAAATCTGCATCAGGAAACTCCCATGCTTCAGTGGCATTCCCCTCTGGGTTTTGTTTACACACAAAGTAAGAGGCAATTCTGGGATTCAAAGTTCTCCAGAAGCAAGGCTGCACAGGGCTGCTGCCCGTGACTTTAACAGCAACAAGACACCGAGTGTTAAAGCACTGCGCTTCCACTCCTTGCAGGATCCAACAACAACAGCCCAAGTAACGCACTTTGTGCTAGCGGTTGTTTTGGTCACCACAGTGATGAAATAGGGCAGTTTTATAAGCTATGCCAACAAGGAGCTAAAATATACCCAACCAGTATTACACACATACAAAAGTCTATATTCATCTACACTTTTTCTGAACTTCTTCAGTGCACGTGGCAGGCTGCAGCGATGTCACATGGCCAGAGGGCCCCAGGGGAGCCGTGCCGCTGCTGGCTCAGCTGCACGGGGTGCAGGAGGGGGACCCCATCCCACGCCATCCCCGGCTGGCACTGAGGGGCTGAGCTCCTCTGAGCCTGGATACACATCGCACCTTTAGAAAGCAACAAAATGAAGATGTTAATTACGAAAAGAGAGACTGGCAGGGCTATTAGAGATGTGTTGAGCAAATTAGAAACTGTTATTCATATGGAGAGTAGCTTAGCATATGCTTGGAGTTTTTTTCATCTATTCACACCCAAGACTGTAATATATTGGACTGTGCCTTGTCCCCATGCTACCTACCTCTGGCAGGCATTTCACAATGAATCCCCATGCTTCCAATTTATTTCTGTCTTCCAAAGGCACCTTTCTGGCATAGTGATGCACTGAAACGCTGCCAAAGATTCCCTCTGCTGTATGGTGACAACTGGGCTGTGGTTCTGAAAGAGAAAGTTCCACAGATGGGTCCTTCAGATCAAGTTAGCATCTTCTCCCTGCTAGCTGACTATGCCATATTGTAGCTTAATTAATAACAGCCTTCTCTGGAATTTATTCATTAAAACCACAACAAAAATTGCATAATGTAGTGTGGCAAATCCTCAGCAATTCATGCTAACCTTGCGTGGTGGCAGTCACATTTCTGCTACAGTGATGGAGATTATGCAAATGGCTGGATTGTTAGTTTAGAGATGAAAACACAACCAAGAGATATTTATCTTAATAATACTTGTAGAGCTGATTAAGTGGCTCATGTACGTGTCTGTGTAAAAGAAAACATGCACACACTCCTCTGCTCTTCAGACTGAAAAGCATTTTGAGCTCTTCCTGCCTTTCAGGAGTTTATATACATTTGCAAGGATTTTATTTCCAGCTCTTTTCCTAAAACAAGCATGTAGCAGCTGTCACAAATCCATGTGCACACATAACCACACAATTTCTATACACAACTAAACAACTGAACATGTATGCATTGTGTATATGTAAGTTCTTGTATGATGACAACATGCAAACACTTACATTAGGTGAATTAACACCTGTTTATTTGTAGGTGTGATATTCCAAGCAATTCCTGGTAAAACTGCAAAAAATATGATTCTAGTCTTCGTGATGCCTAAAGTGGGTTAAGTATGATGATATTCAGATGTACTGAATATTGAATGTAGATATCTTATTAGGCCCAAAAAAATATGCTCTGTGATGTGCTGGAGAAAGAGATACTATGAGAAGGTAATTAGGGACCAATTCAGGGAACGGAAGTTTATAGGTCTAGAGAACTTAGGACTCCATGAGATCCCTTAGACCCAAGAGTCCATCTGGCACCTGCCTGTCAAAACACAAATAAATATTCCAGAACACAACCCTGAGAAGAGTACTGCTGGAATGAAGCTGTTAAAGTCAGGAGATCAACTCTGAAGAACAAAATGCCTGCAAGGTTGGCAACGTGTCAACCTTCTTATTTGACATTACTTTAACTATACAGCCAGCAATCCCGTGCATGTATGTTGAATACTAATACGATGCAATCATTATACCAAGGCACAAAAATTTGCTTCCTCAAAACCCAAGTGAAGCTTGAAGCACATCAACCAGAAATGTCAAAGTCATGAATAAAACAAGGAAAAAAAAAGAAGGTTATCTGGAGGTAATTGTAGGCCTTTAATGAAAGGAGTCATGCTAGACTCAAAGCCATGTCACATCAGACAGGTATGTAAATAATATTGGCAGATTAATGCTGAATCCATAAAAGAAATCAGGCTCATTCACTCAGAAGCTTTTAGCTTTAGCTTATGCGGCTGTGGATAAACATTTGGTACATTGCCTTTGCACCAAAACACAGCACAGACATATTGCAAAGAGTTGCAGGACTGACTTTGCAGGACCCTGCTGCCCTGTGTCATTTCAAAGCTCAGTACGTACATTACCCCCAGCAAAGAGCTTCCTACTCGCTGGAGGTGGCAGCAGGATGAGTCCCATAAGCACAGCCTTGGTCAGTGAGTGAGCAAGAAGTGCATGCTCCTTGCTACAGGTAGCAAGAAGCAGCCTTAATCCTTACCTGGAGTTTATTTGGGGTGCTTAATACGAAGAAACCTGGGATTCTGAGTGGCTTCTCCACGCAGATAAATCCTAGGTCTCAAATAGCTGTGCATGGAAGTGCAACTTGTTCCTGTGCAGGAGCTGCCGTCCCAACCTGGTGCACCAAGAGATCTCTAGGGCAGATGGACAGACAAAATAATTGCACCTGACAGCTGACAACAAAATTAAGGAGGTGTCAGTCCCACAGAAAAATTGGGTACTATGAAGAGCACATTTTAGGCTTACACTTACAAATCCACACACACACTCAAAATGCAGGTAAAGTCTGGGCTATGTTTGCTTTGCTTCCCTTTCCTGCTCTTCCCATTTTTCTGCTACTCTGCCTTCCCAGTTTGCAACAAGAAGCTGTACGGATCTGAGTTATACATACTACTGGCACAACCTTAGAGATGCACCAAAATCACAACTTTTTAATCGTGTATCTCTCTTACTTGGCAGCCCATATATAAAAATAAAACATTTATTTTTCCAATCTTAACTGCACATGCTTGCTCTATACTAACTATTTGACTGCATTAATTCAGCAGTAAGGTTCTCAAAGAAGAGCTCTGCCCTCAAGCTGTGGTGGTGGCTTTCCATCTATTTCAACAACATACATCAAAATTTTATAAAAGCCATAAAGTATGCTGCAGTCTAGTTTTATCTTCTCTCTTTGAACATGCATATAATTTGAATCCATCTTATCCAAACACTCAATAACCAGTAACAGGAGAGAACAGGAGAATTTAGTGGCAGCTGTTGGCAGAGGAGCAGGAAAATTGGTAGGGGGAGAGGAAAGATGCTGCTGCTTTTGTGACTAGGGTGCTTGCTGGAAACAGTGCCGCCGCTGGAGAAGCCTCACTTCTCCCTCTTTTATCACAGCACATCTCTAATCTTTTCCATTTCCAAGAGAAAGAAAAGCCTTCTGAATACCAGCTCCTGCTCTCCACCATGCTGTCATCCGCAGCTCCCTGCCTTCAGTACCAGAGCTGCCGCCCCTTCTGCCTTCCCTCATTAAATGCTCTCTCCTCCCGAGTTCAAACCCCTCTTTCGGCACTTGTCTTGCTCAAGGACTTGGAGCAGCAATCCAGACACACAAGCTATTAGGGATCAGAAGCTGACTCTGCTGGAGGTGTGCGCTCCACCATCACTGACAACACCAGCTCGTGCCTGGAGCCCACGGGATTTTAGGAAGGAACAGGACCGGCTGCAGCCAGCAGTTTGTGATGGATGGAGCCCTCCCAATAGGTCCCCACGTGTGCTGCTCTGCCCACAGGGCTGCCAGCACAAGGCCATGGTGCTGGGACCAGGGGCAGAGCAGCACACAGCTCCGGCACCCTGCTGCCTGCAGGGCAGGAGCGCTCGGCAGCCCCTGGCATCGCGCCCTGAGCCCCCGGCCACACGCAGACGGGCAGCCTCGGCTCAGCTCCTGCCCGACAGGGAGGGGTATCCAAGAGTCAGCCAATATTTTGGTCCTGTCATCCTCCCTGGGAATCCGGCAGGGGAAGCAGAGGAAAGCATATGGTGAGGAGACCGGCTAGCAGGCCAGAACGCACAGCAGATCCAGGCACTCCACGGGCTTGTGTTTTTCAGAATTACTTTCACCTGACTTTAATTAAGCTCTCCCCAGACTCACCAGCTTGGAGAGATTAAAGCGAAAGAGCACGCCAAAGAACTTGCATACCACATGGCTTTCCCTATAAGCTTTTACAGCTCTGTAATTGAATTCACACACAACTGCATCATAATTGTGCACTGTGCAAAGCCACACTGACCTACTTTCCAACCATTTACATGGACCCCATGGAAGCTTTAAGCCACTTGACAAACTGAAAGTCATTTTGTCTGTGTTAAACAAATGCAGTCATTATTGGTGGAATCCAAAATCCCTCTTTTCCTGAAAAGAGCCCATCTATTGAGAAATTTTGCATAAGTTTTACTTACAAAAAATTATCTTGTACTTCCATAGGATCTTAATCATTTGCTATTACTATGTACATAATTTTGAAAGTCTGATACACAGGATTTGAATAATTTAGTGTGATAAGGATGTGCCCTGGTGTCCACGGATAAGGATGTTAACATGCTTCTGAAAGAAGGATACAGACCCTCTGAGTAGGCAGGGCAGGACACAACAAGCAGAGCTTTTAACAAAACTATTTAGGCAGTTTTCCAGACTAACAATGACAGTACAATGAAACTTAAACTACCTGCAAAATTGTCTTAGTTTTGACTCAATTGCCTGCAAAATATTCAACACAACACACCCTCCCACCCTTCTCAGTTTTAAGAGGTGAGGTTTGTGGTAACATTTAAAAAGTGACTGGACTGCTGGATTTCCAGTCTCCTGTCTTAAATAAATTGTTACGTTGATAAATCATAATTCGCTTACCAAATAAATAAAATATTGAGACATGAAATAATTTTGAAGAACCCAAGAAGCGAACTGTCTGTTAACAACTCACAAGGAGTGGAAGCACAACAAACTTAGCTCCTAGAAGGCTAAACTCAGAAACTAATTTCTGCATGCAGATCCTGTTCTGGAGGCTTCTGTACGACGTGCACGCGTGCCCTCCCAGGACAAGAGCAGGGCCAAGCGAACCAGCAGGAGTCCTGCCACCCGCTCCTCGGTGGGTTTCATTTTTTGCTCCACTTCACAAGCAATAGCTGTTGGATGATAAGGATTTGCAAAACAAACTGAAAGCTGCACAGCGCTTGTGTTTGGAAGCTTTAAGCATGAAAATCCATTTCAGGGCCCATCTCCCCACTCGCTGAGATAAACCCGTCCTGAGCGTGCTGCATAAATCTCCTTACCGGAAACACAAACAACTCCCAAACTTGTTATTTTCTTGGCACAATTAGTGCTCAACATGTAGGGTCCCAGCAGCCCTTCCCTGCCAGCCCTCACAACCCGCACGTGCACAAGTTCTCCCTGCACTGGCAGGAGCACAGGGGCTTGCCGGGACCCCCAGCTGCTGGGGCTGGCCCCTTCCTCCCACTCCTCTTGGTGCACGGGGCAGAGCCGGGCTGTGCCGGGTCCTCTCGCCCCACATTACAAGGTTGGCCTCAGCTTCAGCCCAAATGGAACTGCTCTGCCACAAGTCGCAATATTTTGGCAAAGATGCACCCCTTCCGGGGGTGTTCCTCTGGGCAGAGGGGCTCCCCATGGGAAGCGAGACCCAGCAGAGAGACTTCCATCAAAGAGCAGATTTCCCTTGATCAGCACTGGTGGGAAATTCACAAGCAGCAGTGTTTCTCGGTGTTTTTCCTTGGGAACGTACGTTATGTCACAGATACATATGTTTTTAAAATAATTACGAATAATATTTTTCACTATTTTCCCAACACTCCCCAGGGAGGAGCAGAGGTCCCGTGCTCCCCCATTAGTAAGGGGAAAGGTTCCGGGCACCCCAAACCTCCCAGCCCTGGCTGTGGCAGATGCCGCCCTGGGCAGCAAGCACCAGTGTCAGATGCACACCTAAGCGTCTTTTGGAGCAAACGCTTTCCCATGCACAAGCAGAGAGCTCGCCCTGTTTTACAAGCCAGCAGCAGGGGTACAGCTGCTTGGGGAAGGCACCCGGGACACCCGTGGTGCCAGTGGGGCAGGATGGGGCCGGCTCCCTCAGCAGACAGGAGCGCACCCACGCTCGGTAACCCGCAGGTTATCCATGTGGCCCTGCTGAGCACGCCACGCCGCGCCAATACTGCAGTCTTTGAGGCTGAAGCAAGCTCAAAGAGTATTTTTAAATTTCTCTGTCATCGACAGGGCTCGCTCTGTGAGCACACCCTGGGGGAACAGTGCCGCTCCTGTCTGGATGAGACACCGCGCTCATTTAGGCACTGAGCTCATTACCTAGCACGGCACCAAATTGCTTTATTCCAATATAGCTATCTACAGGCGTAGTTAGATTTTACACTATTAATAAGTAAACAAGATGGGACAAGTGCAAGGGAGGAGACACAGAGGGTCACCACGTAGCAGAGACCCCTCTTGCTCTGCGAGTCTCGAGAGCTGAAACCAGCCGGGGACAGGTGAGTATCCTGGGGGGGCATCAATGAGGAGGATCAGAGCCTTGCTCTCCTCTTGCATCTGCTCACGGCCACCCAGGAGAGGACGTGGTGGAGCCCAGAGCACCCCCGCCCCCCAGCCCGCTGCGGGGTCGCGAGGCAGAGGCTGGCTGCAGGCAGGGCCCGCGCCGAAGGCACAGCGTGCAGGCACAGGGGAGAATAAAGCTGTTTGCCCTCAAGTTCATCACAGGATTTTATTTTCAGAACAATAAAGCCCCAAAGGAGGCAGAAGCAGTTTTGTTAACAGTAAAATTAGCCCTTTTACTCACAGTCTTTACAATTAAAAAAAAAAAAAAATGCGTTGCTCTGCCTTTGCCCTGCCAATCTTCAGCGCTATCTCTATATTTCTAATAGGTCTAAGCTAATTAAATTAATTTCCCAGAATAATAACCTCCTAGGGACATACAGCTAGATAATCCTTAACTCCTCATGAAGTTAGTTTCCTATAGGGTTGGGGAGCAATTACAACTCATTAGTCATCCATCTTAGAGGAGACGGCAGGGCTTTCCATTGATTGTTTTTCCAACAGCACCGTGAGAGAAACCAAGAACACGCGGGTGTCTGTGTTAACAAAACCTTTACCGGGAGATAGCATCAAGTGAGATGCATACACAGCTCTTTAATCTTAATTTACAGGAGGCTCCTGAGCCAGAGGCAGCAGCAGTGCCATGGCAGAGCTGCTGTGATCCACCGGGCAGCCAGGCTGGGAGGCTGCCCCTGTGCCAGCACCAACGCAGGTCCTCCCCACCTGAGCAGAGACCCCCGAGATTCCTTGGGAAATGCAACAAAAGCTTAAGGAGAGCTGGCTACAGCCACAGCCAGCCATGCCCCGAGACAATGGCATGGTTCTCCAATGGCACTGCTGCTCTTAACATAGCATAAGCTTAGCTCAAATTTTGTTCCTTATGTTAGGTGGTAAATGCAAAATTGTACATAAAATCGTTCACTAGACTACCAACAATAAAAAGTTCCCTGCTTCACCTCCACCTCGGGTGGGAAAAGGAAACAGCAAGGCTGTTTAACTGGATGCAAAGTCAGGTTTCCTGCTGAGAAGTAGGAAGAATGTCTGGAAAAACTCTAGCTTAGAGTGGAGACACGGGAACAGCAGCACACGCTGCCAGGAGCTCAGCAACTTTGGGGGGCATGGAACAGACACCAAAGGGCATTTGGAATAAAGCAGCCATTTGGCTTAACTTAGATAATTTATTTTCCCTCTCTGATGTCCAGCTATCTTAAAAATTTACATCGGCAGACTAGATTGGAGCCTTCCACATTCTATTTTTGAACTATACATTGTAAGTATTACAGTGCCATAAATTTGACATTTCAAATGCCAACAAATGGCTAGAAAATTGGCCCCTTGTGAATAATAGCCTAGCAGCATTTACATGTAATTATTTTGTCCAGGAATTTAATTTGCTAGACATAAAAGTTATGCTGAATGAAAGAGTGCTGGATAATGATCTTTAAGCTCAGGAAACAGACAGCCATTACTATAGGCACTGAAAGACGTGTCACTCTTTTCAAGTCATAAAGCAAATTCCCTGTGGCTAGGAGCATTTCTGTAACAAATTTAGATAATGCTTGATGATGAACAGCACTACTTAATTTGCAGAGGCTGTAAGTATGTAAACCATCCACCACCACGCTGCCACGTCAGTGCAGTCACCCCAGGTACCCGGCACTAGCACCAACCTGTGTCCCCAGGAGCTGGAGGTGCTGCCATGAACGCGGAGCAGAAGGAGCTGCCCCAGCCTGGGGGGAGCGGGAGGAGGAGCTGGAGGATGCTGTGCCGAGGGGCTGGCAGTGCCCTGCAGAGCTGAGGATCCACAGCTAAAACCACAAAGACCTACAACAGTGGCAACAAAAGGAACATTTTAGTCCATTATTATCGCAGTTCATCTACGTACATAGTTAAGCAACCACCAAGGGTTTTCAGGCAATTGCATTTGTGGTTACCTTAAATACAACTACTGTTAAGAAAGAAAAGATTGGAGGGAAAGAGAGAAGTAAAACAATACAAAACAAAAGCAAGGGGAGTCAAGTGTAGGGAATACAACACTAAATGCGTATCTGGGAAGAATACAGAATGTTTGCTGTACAATCACAGCCGATACAGAATATAGGACATCTGCTCAATCTGTACTGATACACAGAATATATGTTAAAATACAGAACAAAAAGGATCTGCAACAAACTTGAAATATAGAGCTGGGCTCAGATCAAAATCCAGTAAACTCTTATTTTTTTCCTTCAAAAAGTTTTCCAGACATGAAAATTCTGGGATTTGTGTTTTAAATCTCCACTAAAGATACAAAGTCAGCTTTCACCTCTGCTGTCACACTCCGGCACCTCCTGCAGTCACCCAGCAAGCCCCGCCGTCCCGCCAGGCTCCCCATCGATGCCAGCTCCGTGGTGCAGCCTGGAGAATCCCACAGGCACATCCCAAACCTGTGCCAACTGCTGAGCCCTGCCGCAGGCAGCCATGCCCTGGGCTCCTCTGCAGCCAGAGCCATGACCTTATTTCCTAGCTGATCGCTTCCAGTTTTAAAACACAGTAAATGCACCATTTTGCCCAGTGTAGATGCACTTTTAAGGACCTACATCAAGGACTGTGTACCACAAAAAAAACCTGCTAAATTAAGACTCTTAAGAGCTAATAACAGAGCTACAGGAAATCGCCAAATCCTGTGAAATCAGCCAACAGAGTTATGCATAACTCTGAAACCAAATGTCTGGGCAATACACAGTAATCTGAAACAGGTAACTTGCAGTAAGAGGTGCTGGGTTTGTGAGTCACGCCCAAAGCAGCATTCAGATATTTTTATTTATTGGCATTTATTTGCTTTCTTTTGTTTAAAGACGACAAATATTTAAATACATTGCATAAATGCTGGGTACACATGTAAGGACATGCATGTGAACCTGTGCCAGGTCAGAGGTGGGCACATCGCTATGGGAATAGCAGCAAAAATTGGGTACAGCATCTCGCCACTCTTTTGACACTAAAAGCATGAATGCAAAGCCAGATTTGAGCAACAATTTCCAAAATTTTAAGGCTAAATAGATTATTTATATCTCATACCTGCACTTAAGGCTGTGATGTACGAAAGATGTCTAAATCGTGGGCCGTGCCACATCCTGCTGATGGTACGCAGCGCCCAGTGGCTCAGCAGGGCTCGCTCAACTCCAGGCTGTCCTTGCTGGAGTGACACCCAGCTGTGCTCAGTCAGACCAACACGTTCTGAGTACCCATGCTACCCAGAATTACGTGCTTTAGATGACAGCAAGCGCTGACTAAATTTAAAGCAGATGGCACACGAGAAATTTCGTATCATTTCATTTTGATTTACTCCAGATCACATCCTTACATAACTCTGAAATTTAGTGGCTTAACCTAAGGAGAATGTTCCTAATCCTTTCCCTGCCTTCTCACTCTTTTTTTTAAGACTTAAAGTTAAATGTTGATCGTGTCACTGTTGAAATAAATTAACTCTTCTAGTCATCAGGGAAAAGCAATCAATGGAGCATAATGTGAGCTGTCAGATAATCATATTTCAGTTCAAACCCAGTTCTGAAGCAGCAAACTACCTCCAGGAGCAAGGCAGGGTGAGAGCCACGCTATCTGCTTTTCTGGTTGAATGCGTGTTCATTACCACGGAGCCAAGGAAAAGCCTGGAGCAGCTGGGGACTGGCAGAGAGAGTTATTTTCACTGAGCAATACGAACCAAGTCGTTAGCCATATCTGAAATGCCTTTCATCTCCTAGGAAACCCAGGATTTGGACTAACAGTGTACCCTCAGTAGTTTTCTTCTGAGTTTGGATTGGTTATGGGGTTTTGCTTGCTCTGTCTTGACTTTCACAGGCTATTTGCACTTTAAATTGTCTACTTCCCTGCTCCAATTACTTCCTAAATCATCCAGACAAGGGAGTTTGCTATTCCCCCCAATGTTTATACAATGTTCACTCATTAGATGCCCCACAGTTTAATGCCAGTAACAAATGTGAACCATTTCATTCTATACACATAGCTTTTGCCCGGACTGATGCTTTCTACAGGATTTCCCAGATCTGGGAGATTTTCCAGCTGTGGTAGGGACGTCACGCAGGGCTGGGCCCAGGCGGGGCCGGGCTGTAAGAACACTTCTGCTGCAGGAGTCCCAACAGGGCTGCGCACGAGGCATCCTCCACGCGAACGGCTGACGGGGAGAAGCAGAACTCACACAGCTGGCAGGAGGAGAACCGAGGGCAGAAAAACAGAGGAGGATGTGAGCGTTAGTGAGATGTTGGCAAGGCAAGCAAGGACGTGGGAAACAGTCTTGAGAAGCAGCTAGAGCAATGATGCTCCAGAGGCAAACAACAGCTGTTTGTGCTCGCTGTGGTCCAGAAATCGCATCAGACTAATTAGCTGGCAACAGAGTGAATGAAATAACACAATGTTATTTCACAGAAAAGTCTATTGTGAGTCAGAGTATGAAACTGGATGTAGCACAATGACCCCGAGCAGCTTCTGGTTCTGAGCTCACTCAGACACGGGCAGCTGAAGGCGCGGGCAGACTGCGCCCACTTCCAAACCACGGCCACAGCGGCACTGAGCTCCGACCGATTTTCCTTTATGAGGCAAAACTTTATAAAAGAACTTGTAAACAATCTCAGGCTCAGGGCAAAGCAATAAAAAGGATGTTTCTTGGGACAGTGTTCAAGATCATACGTGTAAACAAATGAATCTCTGTGCAATTTCCTTGGAAGCCTCGTTGCTGGCCTCCAAACACCGGCCCACCCCAGCAAGACCACCAGAGAGAGACTTCATGAAGAGAAAATAAAGCCTTTGGCAATGTGATTTGAGTAGGTAAAAACCCCATAAACATCACTGAATCTTTTAATTTATTCACTACCTATCCTTTCACCTCTCCAGCTCCTTGCTTTAAATAATACAAATGACATTATCAGATTCGGGATTTCACCATTAAAATAGGAGGTTGATACCACTAAGGTCTCTAAGGGGTCTGTAGAGAGGGACCAGATGCCTAAATTAGCTAATCTAAATCACCTCAAGTTACAGTACCTCGACAGGACAGCCGAGACAATTAGCATCCTAATCTGGTCACATCACCCAGTTTAGGTAACCATCTACTTTAACTTCATCAGCTTTCTACAACAGCATCCTCCAAGGTATGGAACCTCTGCTTTAATTTATCCAGTCTCAGGGAATTTTTCTTCCCTTTGAGAGTGAAAACTCAGCCAAGAACAAGAATATCCAGATAAATACACAAGAGCATGTCTACATTTCTACTGGTTATCAGACCCTGAAATAAGAATCATAATAAATATCTTCTCGGATTTTGAACAGGGACACTTATCTATCCAGAACAAATTTTATTTAATAGAGATTGTTCTAGTTAAACTAAGCTTAGCAATGTACTCCCTCTAAAGATCCACAAAACACAGTAAAAAGACAGAAACAAAGACAAATCACGGGATCATGCGTGATGTGTAGAAATAAGACGCTGACAAGCATTCAGCTGGTAAGATCGTATCGAGTCTTGTGGGATTCTTAAACCTCCTGGCTTGATCAAAAGGACTAAATCCTGATGAATCCTGTTATAAGGTATCAGAAATGAAAGCTTAATACTGGGCTTAATTTTGACATCCTTATCTTGGAAACATTCCTAAGCACATTGCATAGCCAGAGCCAACAGCGTCAGAAAAGCTGTGAATTTCCATCGGATTTTCATCAACATATCTAGACAGAGAAGTCTCTCAAATCATTAGAGAAGATGAAAAAAAAAAAAAGTTTAAGGGTATTTTTAAGTACTTCTCTACAGTAGGATAACTGATTCATCTTTCTCTCTGCAGATACACGATGGGTTGTTATCTCTTTGATGATTTTTAACCAAGAAGCAGCCTCTTTAAATAGTTTTTTATCCCATACTGTAGATTGTTAATTCTACGTTACCTTGCTTATCTGCAACTGATAAAATAAGTAACAAGGCCCAGTTTCGTCTCAGTAGCTGTGGGAAGGACAACTCCCACTGTAGTCAGTCGTGTGTTAGAATGCGAAGGTCTGTTTCTATGAATACACACACATCCTTTAAAACAGGCTTTCAGCAAATGTTCATCCTTAGAGAACCGCCCTGCTGGCAAGTTTCTGGAAATCTCACATGTAAAGGAAAAAAAAATCATTTCACAATAAAATGAATATTTGAAGATTTCCCCCCCCCCCCCCCCCCCCCCCATAAAACTCACGTTTCTCATTGAATAGCACGTGCAGGAGGTGGCGGCAGGGACGGCAGTACGACCGGCTCAGGGTGACTCCGCCAGGGCTCTGGGATGTGCCACTTGTGTCCTCTGTGTTAATTCGGTCTGCTCCCATACTGGCCCGCCAGCCGCCCAGTCCATGCAAGGGCACAGTCCCACCTGTTCTCTGCATGCTCATGGCCAAGTTTGGAGCACAGCACAGACAAGGGACTCTCCTATTTTGTCTCCTAGAAAGAAGTCAGGCGGCATCTGGGTGTTTTGGCAAGTACGCCTCTTTCTTGAAGGAATGGCAGACTCCTACTGAAAATGACAGGACATTAAAGGTCAGCGTTGGGCATGTTCTGCAAGTCCAGTCCAAGCCTAACATTTCTGTGGGTGGTGGGAATTATGAAAATAAAAGCCTTTAACATAGCCCAAAAGATTTTCAAATCAACGTGTTCCATAACCATTTAAGTGTAGTTTTGCTCATTTGCACCAAGAGGTAGCCAATTATCTTAGAATATTAAAGCTTCAAATTAAATCTATTAATTGAGGATATTAACTCAATTCTGCAACCCAGACTAGCAAACTAACATTCCCTATGGCATCCAGAAATTATCTCCTAAAAATATAAAAGAAATTATAAATCAAATTGCTGTTGCCTCCCTGCCTCACCTGCTGTGAATTATTCCCCAGCCATACCAGCTGTAAGAGCCTCACACAGGATGCTGCCCATCAGCCCCCAGCTCCCAGGCCATCGGAGGCACTGACGGCAGTCCTTGTGCTGTGCTCCCCACCGCCCTCCTGTCCAGAGGCACTTGTGCTCCTTTACATTTAAGGAGATCAAACATTAATGACTGCGGAGAAAGGAGACGCTGCTGTCCCACTCTGTGTGCTCTGGAGCATTGCTCGGCGTGGCACTGATCTCCCAGGCAGATGCCTTTGTCCTCAGCACTGCTCTCAGCAGATCCCACGCAGGGCCTGCTGCTGAGAGCAACGAGCCCTGCAGTGCTCACAGCCCTGCTTTGAGCTCGGCTCTCGTTGTACACACATTGTGCAAAATGTCACTCTCAGTAACACTGCCAGCCTGTTAGCACACCAACAGGACTGAGAGCAGCCTTGTTTAAATATTATATAAGCATTAAAATAAACATTATATACTGTGTATGCACATTTTATGCATTGAATATATATCATTTATATTAAGTATTAATCGAGGAACAAAAATACTTCAAAAATAAAAATATAGGTGGCGGCAGGCCTCTGCAGGTGCACATGCACCAGCAGGGCCACAATGCTTCTCTGCAAAGCTCCCTAACACCTGCTGCCCCGAGCGGGAGCTCCTTCTATGCAAGGCATGGAAATCGGTATGTAAGACTTCGTTGCCTTGTATTTGGTTTGGTTTTAAGCAACAGCATGGTTGTTCCCAAAATCAGTTCAAGCTTTTTAAAAAAATGTATCTTATATATAAAAGATCTTATCTTTCCTTCAGACACTCTAGCAGCCATGCTTTGGGGCTAGCAATCAAAATATTATTCTCCATGAAACTAGTTATGGGCTATTAGTATTGGCTAATGGGCTGAATTAGTCTCCATGAAAAATTACCCCCGTTTGACTTTATCATAAGCCTTCGGCCACATAAGCCTGCTTAGAGAAGATAGAGATCCATTAATTAATACTCATTACAGTGGCCTCAGGCAATGTTAATTCTGTCTTAGCTCAGCCTCTTGGTTTTGCAATGCAATTTTCTTCTTGGAACACGCTTGCACCAGGCACGGGGACCAGCGGGGACAGCCCAGTGCCCAGCAGAAATGCCCTCGGAGCTGAAAACTGCAACTGCCACCTGCTGGAGCTCCGGGGGGCGAGCCCTGAGGTGGGGCAACAGGGAGCACCTCAGGAGTTCGTGGGTATTCTCAGGAAAAAGTTGAATATTGACACTAACCATTGAGATAAACAGCTCTGCCACATTTAAAAGGATGCTCTGTTTACTCTACAGATTTTTAATTATAAAATCAATGAAGTGTTAATGATTGCGAGCATTACTTCAGCTCACTGGGAGTTCCAAACAACTTTTTTTAGTCTATGGCATAAATTCATAAGTTGCTCAGTTTGACCAATTTGTCAAGACAATTTCCATTAGTAGACATGAATATTTAATGAAAGGGAAAACTGGCATGAGCAACTTCACTTAAGCGACTAATGACTTACTGGAAAACAAAGGAGATACATTAATATGCCACTTGATTAAGTATTTGAAGAGCGCAACAATCTGAATATCTCAGCAAAAACCTCCTTTATTCTGCCTGTCTTTATCCATGTATCCACCATCACCATGGCATATAGATGGCAGCAAATCAGCTCAGAAACAAACACTTTGCAACTTTAAACAAATTACTGCTTTTTGTTTACTCGTAGCCTTCACAAGAAGATCTAAAAGCATTTTTGATTCTTTTATTCCTAATTTAGCTAGGATTTTTTGTTTGTATGTTTAAAGGTAAATACAAAAGCCTTGTGACTATAAAGATCCTGCTGTTAACATATGCGGAAGTTCTGCAAGGCGCTGAAAATAAAAAACCTCAGTCTCTTAATGCCACAGCACATCCAGATTTCCTTCAGACCACAGCTTCTCTGCCCAAGCCTCCCAGCGATGGAGATTTCTGTTGCACAAAGTGAGCTGGCGCCGAAACCTCTGGCCCTGCATGAGCTGCTGACGCTTCCTCCCTCTTCAGAAAGGTCCGTGGGGTTTGGTTTCAGGAGATTTTTCATCTCAGACTGCAGAGCGGGCTGTGTGTGCCCTGAGAACACTGAGCCAATGCATATGCATTACATCTGTAAAAAGTCTGATGAATTCAGGTGAACGTCTGATAATTCTAGTGAACACAATTATATCCACTTGAGAAGGAAGCCTGCTTTCCACAGCAGGAGCTCCCTACCCAACTGACCTTTCTTTGCCACAAATCTCTCTTGACAGGCGCTCACAATTACTAAAGTGAAAAGCTGTTTCCTTTCGTCACTATCCCCATAAAACACACTGACTCTCTTAATTACATGCTTAGTTGTTTTCCAAAGGCTCTACCCATGCATGTAGGCAATAATTCAAGCTCCGAGGCAAGACACCATGTCACAGAGCAAGAGCAGCACAGGCAGATGGAAACAAGTGGCCACAGAGCACGGCGGGAGCAGGGGCTCCGGCAGGGTCTGGCCCAGGCTCCTGGGGCATCCCTGCACCCTGCAGACATCTGCTGCATGGGGGGTGCTGGCCCCCTGGGCTCTGGAGCCACAGACCCACATTTCAGGGGCTCCCAGCCACTATGTTCACATGCAGCTTGTGTTTTCAACTGCTGCAAGCCCGTGGGTGGCCAACCAGACTAAGGACCTGGGAACAAATCCCTGCCAAATTCAGCTGTGACTCGCAGTGCAGAGCATCTCCTCTCTGCAGCTGCACGTCCTCAAGGCGTGAGCCCCTGCTGAAGCTCCCAGATGCTCAGAGGCACTCACTCGGTGCTCAGCACAGCTTTGTGCTGCTGTGCACCAAGTTAGAGCAAAACAGCCAGCATCAAGTGATGCTGAATTATGCTTCTCCCTAAAAAGGAGAGAAAATTCCAAGTGCAGCTGCATCTTCCAGTTCACTGCCCAGCAGAGGTGCAATCCCCGCTGGGTGCCTGGGTTTGGTGCAGAAGCTCAGCTTTTGTTTAGAGGCATCAGTTCACCTTTACAGAGTTTGCTCAGAACTAAGCTGATCTCCCACTTGTCTTCTGTGGGGGAGGAGATGTCTGTGAGGCCTTTCCAGGTGCACACACACACACACACAGTAACATGAAGTTAATTAGAAATTGTTAGAATTAACAAAGCAGAGAGAATGTCAGAAAAAAATATTAAAATACTACATTGCCTCTATTGTCTCTTCTAAATGCAGAAATGGAAAACCAAACTCACCCTGTTACTCTGCTTTACTTCACTAAAATAAGGAAAAGCAGTCAGGATGTGAATACCTGCGTAACATCTTCATTCACCGTGTGAAGAGGTCCTCCTCAGCAGCAGCTCCAAGCTTGGCTGCTGGAAAGTCAAAATTCATTCAGCAGCTTTCACATCCCCACCTGCCAAATCGCTGCATCCTCTGCTCCACGAGAGGTGGTGAACCTCGTGCAGTTCAGCCGTGCCCACCTTCCCCACCACTGCGTGGGAACACACGAGGATAACTGGTTTACTGGAAACGTGAAAGTGATCTGGATGTTACCGTCAGGAAAGGCACCAATCGATTCATTTTGTATCAGAAGGATGAGACCTGCTATTAACTAGCACTCACTGAAGATGAAATATTGTTTGTTTAGGGAAAAGCCTGCATGAACTGAAAATCTTAATAGATAATCTCTGCTGAACATTTTTGTGCAGTAGTTCAAGAACATCAAAAGCATGCTAGCCAACCCAATTTTATGTGAATTTGATATAGATGTACTCACGGCAGAGTTTGTTTGAAGTCTGCAACAAGACACCTTTAGACTCTCTCACCCCAAAGCATCCTTCTTCCATATTTCATAGCAGATTAGGGAAAAAAAAAAATGAGCAAGCACAAAGCCAAATAAGAAAAACTAGAAGGAGTTATTAATAAATATTCCTCTGAAAAGCACAAAGTGAGGAAAAAAATATCTTATTTTCCATATACTGCCTATGGTCTCCAAGGTCTATGAATGCCTCATGACACCAGCTAACTTCTAATCGGCCTGGCGATTTGGTTGTGCATTCCAGCACAAGCCAGAAGCCGCCACACTGCAGTCAACAGCATTGAAATCAGAGGCGAATCTACTCTGCCTCGTCTATTCCTCAGGTATTTTCCTCCTCGTGACACCCCGTATTTGCACACAGAGATGCTCCTGCAACAGCATCACACCTCCCTGCCCCAGTTTTACCCAGCGAGGTGATGGGTCCTCACCCATCCCACCCTCCCAACTCGTCACTATGTCTTCAGGTCCAGCATTAATAAAATTATCAACACTGAGATAACATTTTGGAGCTTTGCCAAGCCTGTTTCCTGTATGCAAGCATCAAGATATGATGTCTCATCATACATTAACTTGGGAACCAAACTCGCATCTTCCACCACTCAGAGCCAAGCGACCCAACGCTCCCGTGGGAATTTGGAGTGCCGAGCCCCTCTGTTACACCTCATGCTACAAAGCAGGCAGCTGCCTTTGAACACCTAGACCTGACAGGCGTTGCTAGTATTTTGTCTGGAAACTGCTGACTCCAGTATCAAAATTTTACAGCAAAATACGAAGGGAACATCTTTTTCTGCCTGCACTGCTGGCAGTACTACTTTCGGT